CCTCGGGCATCCGGCCAGCTCCCCCAACATCTCTTCTCCTTCTTTTCCTCTCCGCTTCTTCATCCTCCCTTTGACTTCTTCCTCACTTCTCTTTTTCTTCTTCTTTTGCTTTCTTGCATTCTTAGGGTGAATTCGACTTTAGTGTTGAAGACTCTCGGAGCGCAACACTCACTTCCAGCCACCTCGATCCCTTTGGAACCGGATCATCCTTTCCATCTTTTATTTCTCACTTGACGCACTTCGTGCCAGACCATCCTTGTGAATTCGTGTTTTTGAGCCTTTGACGATAGAAAAGGACTTGTCTCTTTTTTTTTGTTCTTTTTTCTTTTTTCCCTTTACCTCAACTCGATTGCTTTGGGACACCCGCAGATTGTCATACAACCGGAACAAACCGTAAGATTATCATCAAAGACACTCGACACTGCATAGTGGTGTTTATGCTTGGAAGGGATCGGTCTCGGTATGAAATATCCCCACGATTAATCTCGACTTTGTGGAATTGCTTTGGCGACCCCTCCCACTTTGCGACCCTCCCAATAACAACACATATTTCGAACACCAACTAATTTCGACTTCTATTTCTAGTGTGTCCTCGATCCTTCGCTCTATCCTTATTCCATGATATCTGTCCCACAATTTTGAACGAAGCTACATTTGATTTCCGACCTTGCTCTATTTTGCTATTTGCGCGGAGGTCATACTTTGTGGAAGAGATTCGGGCACTGCCTTGCTGAAGGCATAAAGAGATAATCCATAATGTTGCCGGTTTCGCGGCCTGACGGTCAGATGAATTTCAATTACATCCCAACCACCCAACCCATGTCCGGTACCTCGACGGGGCGCAGCTCTCCCAGCGATCTGGCCGGGTCTGGGAACCCAAGAATGCCGTTTGGACCTTCTCCGGGGTCTATTGGCAGTTCGAGGCCAGGGGCTGGCTCCCCTTCTCACGATCTGACATCGCGTCTGTACTCGAAGAGGTAGGTTTGCTTCCCGTGGGACACAGAACTGCGACAATCGGCTGACACTTGGACTCTTCTCGCAGAGCCCGTGAAATTCAAGCGCAAGAAGGCATTTCTCCTAGTATTTGGGGACCTCCTACTAGCGGCCATTCAACCCCGCTTCGCGAGAATATTCCCGAATCGCCGAGTCAAGATAGCTTTCCCGATTTGATTCCTACCACGAATGGCTCCATGGACAGCCCTGGCCGCCGAGCTCGCGCTGGAACGGTTCCATCTCGTTTCCCTCCAATGGGCACGCTGAATGAGATGGATCTTCAACAGCCTTACCTGTCGCAGACCTCACGACCAACGCCCTCAACGAGTCCTTTTAGACCCCCAGGTGTTTCCGGGATAGATACAAGTTCCAAGGTCGCGAGTTCAACGGGTGTGCCCAACCCGGCATCGCTATCCCGCCTTCGAGCTGGCTCGATGCCGCAGCGAAGCAACTTTTTGGGAGGTGGCGGCCCCTTCGGCCCGTCACTGTTTTCAACCAACTGGTCGACGGGTCGTGAGCGAGCTACAACTTTAACAAGCATACGATCTTCGGAAGGACCGACTTCGCCCAGCCACTCTTCTTTCTCGAGGGATGGACTCGCGGATACCGATGTGAAGACCTTGGATTACCTGGGGCTTGCCGAGACCCCTCAACAGGGAATGTCCTCTCTTGCACGTCCCTCGATGGAAGCTTTGATGCAACAGCAGCAGCAGCAACAGCAAGCTTCTGCGCTGCCACCACTCCTGGCTGAGTTGGCGATGATGAAGAACAATAACCGATTCCGATCATACTCTGTCAATGCTAAGGAGAAATACGCGGATGATGAGGATCTTGAATATGAAAACCGTTACTCCCAACTTCCCTCGGGCACTATGACGCCGACTGCCGCTGCAACTGCCGCGCAACTTGCCGCCACACAGGCCCAGATTCACCAGCATAACCTCGCTGTTCAGGCTTTTGCTAGCCATGCCTCTGTTAGCAGACCCCGGGCGCGAACTGCTGGAATTTTGGAGGCACCTCCCCAGCGATCATCGATCCGCAACTACCTTGCCACACCTTCCCGCCTCGACAACAGCTTCAGTGCTTCTGACCTGCAGATCGCCGAGAATGGCGAATATGACGAATTGTCCGAGGCAGTTCAGCTAATGCATCTTGGCGGTAACGGTATTCCCGCCATGAGTGGCCGACCGGCCGGTGAGATGGCGGATGAGAACAACCAGGATGGACCTACCCGGGCACTTTGGATTGGTAGCATCCCCGTATCCACTACGGTCACATCCCTGGAGGCCATCTTTGGCATGTATGGAAAGATCGAGTCGACCCGTGTTCTAACTCACAAGAACTGCGGATTTGTCAACTTCGATCGCCTTGATAGCGCTGTGCAAGCCAAGTCGCTGCTCAACGGCAAGGAGATTTTCCCAGGCGCAGGCCCCGTTAGAATTGGTTATGCCAAGGTTCCTGGTGCATCGGCCACTGGTACGCCTGGTGCAAATGGCATCCAGTCATCTCCTACTCCTGAACAAAACTTCAGATCAAACCTTGCAGCGGCAGATGGGGCGGATCGAGCGGATAGCGTTAACGTTATCCCTCAGATTCCCGCTCTGGCTGATCTGTTGCCTGAGATGGTGCAAATCGTGCAAGAATTCGGCGCAAGCGAGGATGACTTGAAGAACATCACGGCAAGCATCCAGGCTTCCGTCGCATTCAAAGCTTTCGAGGATGAGATCCCCTCGGTCCAGGAAACGAGTCAGTCCCGGATGTTCGACGCCCCTCGTCTCCGAGACATCCGGAAGCGCATTGACAATGGTGCATGCTCGATCCAAGAAATTGAGGAGACTGCCGAGGCAATGCTCCCTGAGATCGCAGAGCTAGCGTCCGATTATTTGGGCAATACCGTGGTTCAGAAACTGTTTGAATTCTGCTCTGAATCCACCAAGGAGCAGATGTTGACTCACATTGCACCCCATCTCTCCGAAATTGGTGTTCACAAGAATGGAACTTGGGCTGCGCAGAAGATCATTGATGTTGCAAAGACTCCTGCACAGATGAAGTTGATTGTTGATGCTCTTCGCCCTTATACTGTCCCTCTTTTCTTGGATCAGTATGGAAACTATGTCTTGCAATGCTGTCTGCGATTCGGCAGCCCGTTCAACAGCTTTATCTTTGAGTCTATGCTCAGCCGAATGTGGGAAATCGCCCAGGGACGTTTCGGCGCCCGAGCGATGCGGGCTTGTCTCGAAAGCCACCATGCCACCAAGGATCAGCAGCGGATGCTCGCATCCGCTATCGCTCTCCACAGTGTGCAGTTGGCTACTAATGCCAATGGAGCTCTTTTGCTCACTTGGTTCCTTGATACGTGCACATTCCTCGCCGCCGAACAGTGCTGGCCCCGAGACTCGTGCCTCACCTTGTTCACCTTTGTACCCACAAGGTTGCCTATCTCACTGTTCTCAAGGTGATCAACCAGCGCAACGAGCCGGATGCTCGAGACATTGTTCTAAAGGCACTCTTCTTCAGCCCCGGCGATGAAGTCCTGGAGAAGATTCTAAGCGATCAGACATCTGGCGCGACTCTGATCTTCAAGGTCTTGACCACCCCGTTCTTTGACGAGTCTATGCGCACTGAAGTCGTGAAGAATGTGTCCAAGGTTCTCACGAAGCTGAAAGCTTCCCCAAGCCAAGGCTATAAACGTCTGATGGATGAAGTGGGCCTCTCCTCACGAGGTAGCGGTCGGGAGCATCACCACGGGCGTGAGCACTCCACCCCGGAGAAATCCCAACACCGCCAATCCTCCCGCCACGGAAGCACTGGTTATCCAGCCCAGCCGTCCATGGACAGACAGTACAATGGCCAGTTTGCTCCCAACACGTTTGGACAGAACCCGGACAACCGTCCTATCTCCGCCGACCAGACCAACGCCCCGCCGCTTGATCCATACTCGACCAACGGCCTCGGCAACCACCTGAACGGTCTTGCCGGTGCAGGCGGATACAGCCAGGAATCCCTGAGCCAGCAACAGCTGCAATACCAAGCCTTCCTCGCCGCACAAGCTCGTGGCGTTCCCACTGGTTATCCCGGCATGGCGGGCGCCAACTACGGCTACCCAGCTGGTTCGCCTGCTGTGGATAACCTGCGATCCCTGCAGCCGCAGCAGGCTTCCACGCTGCCCGCCGGACCGGGCCAGATGAGTCCCAGCCCGATGCTTGCCCAGAACAACTACCAACAGTTCAGCCCCGCTGTCAACCCTGCCCAGATGTATCAATACCCTCCGCAGTACTACCCCCAGGCACAGCCTGTGCAGGGGCAGCCGGGCGGAGGCCGACGTGGACGGGTGAGTTCATTCTCGGACCGGCCCTAAACCATGTAACACGGCAATACTAACGTGCATGCCTTGTGCCCAGCGTTGATCCCGTCTTCGCGTATGATTTCTAATCGATCTGCCTTCACATCTACATGTATAAATTTTTCTTGATCATCTTATTTTCTTCTCTATTTTCTCATTTTTTGAAGTTTCTCATGGAGACCAAGCGGGTTTATCTAGCTACGTGTTGTGATTTCATTGTCCTATCTCTTCGCCCTGATCGGACGCTGGACCGCCGGCAGGGGAGAATCGGACCCGGGAGAGGAACTGGCTATGCATAGGGAACCGGTGGTGAAAAAGTCTTGTGTCTCTTCTGGGCGGAGGCCCAGTTTTGTATCTTCAGCGTTTTTGAATGACCCTTGTATCTCTTGTGATCTTACGATAGGCCCTTTTCTTTTCTGTCTATTGTTTTAAGATCGAGATGTTGGCTGCCTAGTGGAGCATAGTGAATTGATGCAGACGTGAAAAGAGACTATATCGTAATGAATGTGAATATATCGAATATCGAATTTAAGAGAACGAGCTTTATTAAGATCCCTCCAATATTGAATTTATATGAGGCCGAGACCTGGGACCTCCACAACTACCCGTCGGCATCCATCGCTCATTTTCACCATCACCCAACAAGGGAAAGGCAAGGCCGAGGATGGGCGGTACTATACAAGAGGAGACTGCAATTCTCTTCCAGGATAAAAATATATACCTCCTAGACATCCCGCATTCAATTGCGCTCGCGCAAGAACGGAGGTCAATCTCACAACAACCAGCACCAGAATCAAGTTCAGGAACAGAAAAGAGCACACATAGAAAGATACGGAACCTACTTTCATGCTCACCTATAAAAGAGCCTTTTCCCTCTACCGAGCCCAAAAAGCCAGCTGCTCTCGCCAAGGTCCTCGACACCATTCCTATCTCCGAGAGGCGGTTCCACTCGGAACTGATACTGCCACTCGTGAGGGATTCTCTCGAGACTATCAAGGCTGGATATCCCCTTGATCGCCCATGGTGCGAGTCTCGAGCTGTGCCTAGTGTACCTCGTGGTAGCACAGAGCCAAATCAGCATCCACGGAAGCGTCGGAGGGGAAGCGATTATAGGCGTTTAGAGTCTGCGCCAGATGATCATGATTCGACTAAGAATGAACCACCAATAATTCTATCAACTACCTCGCCGAATGATTTCGAGGCTTTATCAGAACTCGCCATTGTCAAGAATCCATCATCAGAGCCCGCAATCATCAGGGTTGGAAGCTGGCACCGCGATGAAACGAATTCTCCATGTGAATATATGGTCCCACCTGAGTCGAGCTTTGTGCTATGTACTCTGCCTCTATTTCAAGCCGAAGCCGACCGTCCATCTACACCCAATAACTATCCCATCCCCGGGATTCCCCATCACCAGAAATTTAATCTCATCCTCATGGACCCGCCCTGGCCAAACAAATCCGTGCGGCGCAGCAGACACTACCAAACACATCACTATTCCGAGATGGATGTGCTTACCGAAGGCTTACGAGATATACTCCGTGTACATTCGCACAACCCCAAAGCAAAGCAGGGGCCACGTCCATCCGAAACCCATACCGGACTCGCGATCCAGAGCGAAGAGTCTATAGCTGCTATATGGATTACGAATGCCGAAAAGGCCCGGCGAGCAGCATACGAGGCCTTGAGCGACGCAGGGTTTGCCACCTGCGAGGAATGGATCTGGGTCAAGACCACGTGGGACGGACAACCGATCTCAGCACTGGATGGTCTTTGGCGGAAACCGTATGAGATCCTTGTTATTGGCCGCAAGAGTGGCCTTAATGTCGACGTCAACGCTACCGCCGACAATGCCTCATCCCTGCCTCAAATGGATGACCTGACGCGCATGAGTGAGGCCATTACCACGAGACGTGTCATCGCTGCGGTTCCGGACTTGCATTCTCGTAAACCGAACCTGAAATCCATTCTTGAGAATGTGTTTTTCACGGAGGCTGGTCATCTCCAGGAGTATTCTGCCCTCGAGGTGTTTGCGCGCAACTTGACGGCTGGCTGGTGGGCTGCTGGTAATGAGGTCCTCCGGTTCAATGCCCGTGAGTGCTGGGTCGATCTTGGGAGTGAGAGGGATACAGACATGGTTGAATGTGCATGACTATGCAAGTTGGGTTTTTGGTTCGCCTGATTTCATACATTGATGACTTCCAGTGCTGTCAACAGGGGGGGGTTATCTTTTGACCAGCGCTTATATGTATATGGTCATTGTATCTGGTGCAGGTTGTATATGATTCGCAATGCACACATATATATCAAGGCGGCCCTACGGGCCCACACCGGCTTAATCCCACGATCTGCAACCAGCGCGGAACTCCTGCCGCGCTGACAAAATACAATGCAATTGTGTTCTTATCAGACTTATAAACGTCGAGTGACTCAATTACAATAATAAAATGGCTTTGTTCACACTGCATATACTTTCAAAAGCCTAGGAAAGTCTCTCGCTTAGATCAACCTGTGTGACCCCTAAACACGCCGAATTCAGCCTCATCGAATAGCCAGATTTCCCCAACAAAATTTTCTACACGGTATGATCTTTTGGAAATGGCTAAAGATCAAGAAAATGGTTCAGTCAATGACAGTGCGGAGCGTCCAAAATGCTTCACCAGCACATTCCAAGAAGTTCTCTTCGTCCTAACGGCCACAATGGCCATTGGCCAGCAGACGTTCTTCCAGGGCTGTATCGTGGGGGTAACCGCATCGATTGGCAAGGATTTGCATATGAATTCTGCTGAAATTACATGGATCAATGCCGGTGCTTCGTACGTATATCTATTTCTGTTTCCACAATTTTCAACTAAATTGCAATTGGGTATTTGAGTTTCTCCCGGCTTTTTATGATTTGGATCTCTTCCTATCCCCATATACATCATACAACCTTGAAACAATATATCAAACAACATAACCCACTAACCATGCACTCAACCCGAACAGTCTCACAAGCGGCGCCTTCCTGCTCACTTTCGGGAAGCTAGCCGACATGTTCGGACGCAAGATTCTCTTCATAATCGGCATGGCCGGTTTCACCATCTCGCTACTCATCGCCGGATTCGCAACAAATGCAATTTATATGGACGTCTTCTCGGGGATTTTAGGTTTATTCGCCGCCGCCGTCGTCCCACCGGCCGTCGGCGCCCTCGGCGCAACTTACGAGAAACCCTCAAAGCGCAAGAACCTTGCCTTTGCCTGCTTCAGCGCGGGAAACCCGCTTGGTTTTGTCGGCGGCATGATTATCTCCGGTGTTGCGGCGCATTTGTATAACTGGCGCGCTTCCTTTTGGGCTCTCGCTGTTGTCTATGCTATCTTTACCGGTTTGACCGCGTGGACGGTGCCGGCTGATGGGTTTGCTAGGACGCCTTTGAGTGTCCAGGCTTTGAAACAGTTTGATATTCTCGGGATGGTGTTGGTTGTTGTTGGCTTTGCGTTCTTTTCGAGTTCGCTTTCGTATGTTTCTTTTTTCTGCGTGGGTAGATTGGTTACCTTGGGCTTCACACTGACTACTTTATAGTCTCGCTGCAGATGCGCCAGATGGCTGGAAAACGGGATACGTCCTTGCTTTGTTTATCGTGGGCTTTTCCCTTCTCGTGGTGTTTCTGTATTGGCAATCCGTTGCTACACACCCTCTGATGCCTCTTTGGGTCTGGCGAGATCGTAACTTCTCCCTTGTATGTGCCCAATTTCTCATGAAAGTATAGATCGAAACTAACGGTTCAGCTTATTGGAACTTGCTGCCTTGGCTTCATGGGTTTCTCTGCCGTCAGCTTCTACCTCGCTCTCTACCTTCAAGACCTGAAGCATCTGTCTGCTCTTGAAGTCACCGTCCAGCTACTCCCAATGGTTGTCAGCGGGGTGCTGGTCAACGTGGTCTGCGGTCTGGTCCTGCACCGCGTAAGCAACAAAGTACTAACCGGCATCGGAGCACTGGCGTATACAGCTTCGTTCCTTATTCTGAGCTTCATGAAGCAGGAAGCCAGTTACTGGGCATTTATCTTCCCAGGGCTAGTTCTTGTCGTCGTTGGTGCCGACATTCAATTCAACGTCACAAATGTACGCTCAACCCCTACCTCCTTTCTATTCCTTATCTTTCTGCAATATGTTCTGTCTTTGAGGGTATTGACTAACTTCATCTAGATGTACGTGATGTCCACCCTCCCGCCATCCCAGCAATCCATCGCCGGCGGCATCTTCAACACCGTCAACAAGCTGTGCAGCACCCTGGGACTTGGCATTGCTACTTCGGTACAAAGCTCGGTCGCTCTTCGCATGACGGCCTCCTCGCCTGCAATTCAGCCTTACCTCTCGGTTTATTGGTTTGCGGCTGCGGCTTCGGGGGTATCTCTGGTTTTGGTGCCGTTCTTGACAATCGGTAAACAGGGCAATTCTGTCCCGCAAAATGACCAGTTGATTCCTGGCGAGGAGGCTGGTGAGAAAACGGCTGTTACTGCCAACACCAGTTCTGTGGTTTCTTCTGCTGCTGATATCGCAGAGCACCAAAGAGGGTAGGCTACTGGGCTACTGGGTTGACCATTTCGGTTTGAAGAAGCGTGTGCGATTTCGATGGGCATTTTTTTACACATATTACATCTCGGTATATCCCGACTATTCTTTCAGCAAAGCAGACACAGACACATATCATTAAATGTACCTAATAACAACCACTGCTTTCAAGGCACAGCTCAAGAAAGACATACTATCTATCCAGATACCAGATCCAGAAATGCTCTCTCAAAAAGCGATCTCATCCTCAATCCCCCTTGGACTCTAATCAAACAAAGGCCCCAAACTAACCAAACTAAACCTCAAGTCCGGATTCCCGCCCTGCGCCTCCATCTTCAAAAACCTCCTAACCCCCAACTCCAGCGCCGCCTCACTAAGCGCATCCTCCCCCTCCTTCAAAACCCCCCCCTAGCCAACGGCCCCTTCCTCCTCCCATCTAACTCCCAAAGCGTCCCATCAGGCCCCCCTCACAAAAGCAACAAAGTGCAAATCAACACTATCCTCCGCCTCCGGCGCAGCCGTATCCCCCAATTTCGCCGCATCAGCATGCGCACTCTCCAGCGCCTTACTATCATACAGCAGATCCGCGCGCGGCACAGGCTCCAGTCCCTCCGCTTCACGGAGCAACGTATCCAAATCCGAGCCGGCGACGACATGTTTCCGGGCCTCGCCGTTCGAGACCGCGTGCAGCAGCCCGATCAGCCCGCATGCGTTCCGGATGGTCTGCTTGAACCACATTACGGGTTCGGAGGGCCCGGAGCCGGTGTAGTTTTGTTTGGAGGCGTCTTCGGCTTCGCGGGAGGCTTCGTAGGTTTGGGAGACGGGGAAGACGAGGAGGAGGGCTTGGGAGGGGCGCGGGACGAAGGCTAGGAGGTCGGGCTCGTCGATGGAGAATACGTCTGTGAAGCCTAGGGTTGGGGCCAGGCCTAGTTGGTGCACTAGGTGGGACATTACTTCCGGGTTGTTTTCTGGGTTGAGAGTTAGTTTGGGGTTTGGAGGTGGGGGGGGGGTTGAAGTCGGACCTAGTGGCACAAAGGCCTTTTGAGTTTGTGGGACATCGACGTGTGCCATTATGTGTGGTTTGATTACTATGGTGATGATAGTATGTCTTTGGGATAAGGTAGAGATTGGGAGGGGGAAGGATTGAAGGATTGCGGGGTCCCACGTGTTATGCAGGGGGCATTCGATATTAAGCAATTTAATCTATGTACCTAGTTCTTTTAATTGTTTTACTTTGAAGCTTTGATAGGTTATGAAATATAGTATTATATTTTAGATCTAATAATATATATGAACACAAATATCATGCCCGTATCTGTATCGGGTTGTAGTTTCCGTGCAAAGCTTTGAAGCCTGAAAGACAAGGCCACAAATTCCAGACGAAAGCCGTTGTGCACGTGTCACTTTTGAAAGGAGAATATTAATAGCAACCCAAGTTAAAATTGATTTGGATTCGACGGAGTAAACCTCCTAGGGCTGTCATTCAGATCGCCATTATCCATTATCCTTAATCCCTTAAAAAAAGGAGAACGTTGATCAGTCACCGAGACACCGAACCTTGGAAGATCCCGAATGACAGCTACGGAGGAGTTACGGTGTACTCCGTACAAGGACTATGACAAAGCAACACGCTAAATAGGGTAAGGAGAAACCAAAGAATGCCATTGTTTCCAAGGCACTAGTACTAGTGCACACCGTTAGCGTCAGCCTGAAGATCGCCACTCTGCCTCCTTAAAAAAGCGGTCCCTCCGAGGAGATTGTCCACCCGTAACGATTGGATTGGCACAATGACTTCCCGTGGGCCCCATGTCAATTTCGGGGCTGACAGGAAACTGGGAACGGGACAAGTTAAACGAAGCTACAAAAACATATCGACCCAACGAGACGGTAGCTCTCGTAAACCTCTGCCGAGAAACAGCCAAGCGAGTACTATGAAACCCTAGCGGAATTCCTTGTGAAGAAATGTCCGGCACTCCGCACGCTACCTCCCACATGCAGGCTCGGCAGTTTCTAATCCCATGCGCATATATTACACCGTAGTTAATAGTATCACAATCCTATCCTCGTATAGCTCGATGGGGATTGACATCTAGCGGCTCTTAGTCGACCCAATTTATACCCGACAAGGTCATGAGTCCAGCCGTGTCGTCGATCATATCGACGTTGGCTTAGCGTTGTTTTTCTTCCGACTCGAAAAGGCATTTCGGGCCAAGGCTAAATGGGCTAAATGAGCTAAATGAGCTAAACGTTCTAGTTCCTCTTTGCCCCTGTATTTTCTAATTTTTCGTGGGTCTTGTCAAGGAGCTCGTCTTTATTAAGAATCCTTCTCCCCCACAATTTTAAATCCTTCCGACATGACAAGCGTTTGCCGCCATGACAGATGAAAAGGTAAGAAGCACGGCGGTTCAAACCGTGGCCGCGGTCTTCCTGCCCATCGCCGCTATCACGGTGATGCTACGCATCTACGTGCGCGGTTGGATCGTAAAGGCATTTGGATGGGATGATGGGGCTATGGTAATTGCAATGGTATGTCCAATCTCGAATCTTTCAATCCGAGACAATTCCGGGACTTTTCAGTGGAGTTATACTACAGATCTGACAAACCCAATCTATCACAGCTATTCTATGCCATGTTCTGCGGAACCATGATTGGAGGCACAATTTATGGCACAGGCTATATGCTCGAAAACCTCACTGTCCACAACCGCGTCACCGCAATGAAATATTGGTGGCTCTGCGAGATCGCCTACTGCTTCGCCTCGGTTGGCTGCAAGATCTCCATCTGCATTTTCCTGATGCGCATCACTATCAAACCCCTCCACATCTGGCTCCTCTACTGCGTCATGGTCTTGACCGTCATTGCAGGCCTGGTTTTCATGTTCCTCATGCTCCTCCAGTGCAGGCCACTGGAATACTTCTGGACTAAGCTGGCCTACGACCCTAATATCGTGGGCACATGCATGGATATGAAGATCATCGTGATCATGACCTACATATACAGTGCATTTGCCGCACTGTGCGATTTTACCGTCGGCATATTGCCCATCTTCCTCGTCCACAAACTTCACATGAAGCGCAAGACCAAGATCGCCGTCATGGGCATCTTAAGCATGGCTTGCATGTATGTTTTCCTCTCGGGTTTCCATACTAGTTCCAGACCACTGACAAGAGGATTCTATAGTGCTTCATCGGCGGTTATCGTCCGTGTCCCCTTCGTCGCAACATTCTATGACCCCGATTTCCTCTGTACGTTCCTATCCTGCCGGAAAGATAGACTAAGACACGAACAAACTAACCAAATCCCCGCGTTCTAGACGCAACATACCAAATCGCCATCTGGTCCAATATCGAAGCAGGCCTAGGCATCACAGCCGGTAGTCTCGCAACTCTCCGGCCCCTCCTCCGCAAGTGGACGGGCTCTCACTCAGACCCATACCACTCTAGTGGGTTTCCCGCCGGGCGCTCACGGTCTGCCTCGCGCCAGTTGGGCGGAGGTGAAAATCGATCTTTTCCTCTAGGCTCGCTGGATGAGAGCGGGCAGGCTCGGTTGAGACCGGATAAGCTTGCTGTCACTGTCACGACTATCCAGAGCCAGAGAGATCCTGAGGATACATATGTTGCTCCGAGCCCGAGTAGCAGCGAGGAGAGGTTGACTATTGATCGGCCTTCGCCTCGGTTGCAGTTGCAGGGTGATATCGGGTTGGGGATTCATCGCACGTTTGAGGTTACGCAGACTTTGACGGAGAGGCATGTGAGGGAACATGTATAATTGACGTAAATGTAGATATGACCCAAAAAAATGTATATATTGAATAGTAATATCTTATTATCATGAATTGCTTGGTTTGGAGGGGTGGTTGTATAATGTAATGTTCTTTAGTAAGGAGGAGAGTCGTGGTGAGATGTACAACTTCGCAGTCGTAAAAAATGGAATGGGTTATCATTGATTCATTCAGTCATTAGAACTTTCGTTCGATATGTATCTGACATGGCCTCAAACAACTCCCTCTACCGACTAGGCTGCTTTCCCTGCTTCAACGGCTCAAAAATCTCCGTCCACAGTTCACTAGCCTCGCCCAGGTAGTATGTCAAATCAACATCAGCCAGACTAGCATCCTCATCTCCAGACATAGTCTCAAGCTGCGAGATCAAGTTCTCCAGTCCAAAAGCCTTACCCGTTGCCTGTGTTGCACCAGCTTCGAGCATAACATTAACAACATGGATATGGAAATGGTAGTAAGTCGGTTGATCTGCGAGATTCAAGTCAGCCAAAATACAACCCCCAACACAACCCAATACAGCGCAATTCAATCCCAAACAGCAACTCACAATGAACATAAAGCTTAATCTGGTCCTCCTCCAAACCAGGATACATAGAAACCGTAGCCTCAAGCACCCTATCCCTCAAATACTTCAACCAAGGCACAAAACCCTTCTTAAGATCCCTCAAACTCCAAATATCCCTCCTCTGCACCAAAGCCAACAAATGCAACGACCCCATACTCTTCCGATCCCAATTCAAATCAGGCAACATCAAAAACCCATCCTCAGGCCCGTGTCCCTCATCCCGCATAATCACATCTTCCTGCTCAGTCCTGCCTTCGAGGATATTAAACACCCAGTTCAGACGTCCCTCCTCGCGCTTCGCTTGCATGTACGGCCGCACGTGCGTGCGGTATATCTCCGCCGTCTCTGTTACCATGCGCAGCTGCTGGTCCGAGTACTTCTTGATGTGCTGTGCTGTGCATGGCCAGATGAGGTTGAGTTTGAGGTCTTGATGGCGGTTCGCGGCGGCTTCTGCCGGTGTTGGGTCGTTGGTGTTGCCGCTTGAGGAGGCAAGGTACCAGCGGTAGATGTCGTTGTCGCCTAGGTTGTTGATTCGGGAGATTGCGGCGTGGAACGCTTGGAGCACAGCTAGGGATTCGGTTGCGAATGCGGCGCGCTCGGCTATTAGGATGCCTTGGGTGTTGTCGATTGTGCCTAGGAGAGCGATTCGTCGGCCATTTTGGTCTGGAGGGGTGGTTCTTTTAGTCTGTTGATTGTTGCGGGGAGGTGGGGTGGTTGAGTCGGACCTTGTTTGAGGAGCTTGCTCACTTGGAATTTGGTGATTAGTGCCTCTGGGGCGAGCTTGTCGGTGCCTTGGGAGTCGGCCATGTTTGGAAGCGCTTCAATGGTGGGATGTAGGAAGTTCAAGATGTTTTGTATGATTTATCCAGCTTTATCGGGTGGGGCGGTCAGGCTTATCGTTTTGGTGTAGATCTATGAGCTGGATGATGGATTCCGTTGCAATGCCTTGATAATCCATTTTATTGTTATGTCTGATCTATATAATGCTGTAGTCGCTTTGATATTCTGATACATTGAGCCCTCAAAGTATCCCTTGGATGCATCGAACCAAAACCAATTGGTCTCAAGCCTTCAACGCATAGTTCATATTTGATGAAGGTTATAAGGAGATCTGTTTCAAGCAATATTAAGTGAATGTCAGAGAATTATGCTAGCAGATGCATTGATATATAGTCTAAATCCACAAAAAGTCCCCCATCAACTCCATTCTAATCCAACAAGCCGTTTAAGATGCCTCAAGCAGCAGCAGACTCCTTTCCATTAGTCGCTGATGCCGGGGTTGTATGCATCTAATAGACAGTCAGAAAAGACCCAAGGTAAAAAATAACCTAGGTAGACCATAATTAGAGGGGAATAAAACATACCGCGTCCGCAAACTGCAGCCACTCCTCCACTCCCTTGACAAAAGTATCATCCGCCGCAGGAAGAGTCTCATGCCCCCATACTACAAAGTCATCAAAGGTGCCCTGCATCTCCATGATCTTCACTGGTTCCTCGGGCTCAGCCTCTGCATCCTCAGCGCCATCGCTGTCTGCCCGTTGAGCTGCGGGTAACACGCGGTCTGTGGGTGTTGCGACTACACCTGTATTTTCAGTGGTATATAGTCAGTCAATTATGATTCAATTACCGCTTGTATATTTCTGAGAGCTCATTTGGACCGTTCTCTCGTACCTTGGTAGCCATCGGGGAGGGCGACGCGCCGACCTCGAAGTTTGCGTCCGCGGAAATGCACCGTTTGTGTATTATCTGGATATGAAAAAGAGGATGTTAGTTTTTGCTTGTACATTGGTCCAGTAGAATTTCTCCAGCCAGTGCTGTCTGTCTTGCATACCTTTTTCGTCTTTCACTGTCCAATACCGATCCAATGAATCAATTGGTCCATCGTGGTGAATCCGGCATGGAATGATATTTGGCATGCATTGCGGGGTTGAGTCGTTCTTTTTGGATTGTGAGCTCGCTTTTGAGCAGGGCTGGATGGCGTACATGTCGGGCATTGTGTTGATTGTTCTTGGACGGATATTCTGGTCTGAGGACTCGCGGGGCAGTAACAGTGTAATCCAGGATATTTACTGAGATCAATTGGTTCGCGGTCCGTTCTTATATCGTTGAAATCTGCAATTGAAGAGGTATTGCCTGGGTTTTGTGGTCTGGGTGGTTGCGATGATTCTTGCAAAAGATTGGAGGTGCGGCGCGACGCGTTCTCCCGTTCTCCGCGTTAAGTGGAAATTCGAGGTCGACGACTATAGATTATTTACTTAGCCATCTTTACAGGTATATTATAGATGTTTCAATGTATTTGAAGTCACTAAGTAACAAATTACAGACCTTTAAAAATCTCGAAATGCAAAACAATTCAATTGGCAATGATCGGGGTATACATGTACAGAGTATCTAAGCATGTCTCTTCGAAAGCTATATCGAATATTCAATCACATCAGCGCTTGCGAGTAGTCTTCTTCTTCTTCTTCTTTTTCTGGTCACCCTTCTCCCTGTTGTCGGCAATCATCCGAGCAGGCCATTTCTTCAAATGCTCCCGCTCAAACGCATCCTTCTCGCGACGATACAAAGCCATTGTAGCCCGGGCATCTTCCACACTAGAATGCGCTCCCTCCTGGATCTTGATTCCCAAGAATTCCTCAGCCAAGATCTTCAAACGTGGTGATCCACCACCTGCAATCCTCCGATATGGCGCGTGCTTGCTCGTGTCTCGAATGTCGCGCTTGGGATGGCCGAGAAGGAGAGCATCCAAATCATTGCTGACGGCATGACCGACGAGAATCCGGTCCTTCATGATATCTGCAACTTCTTTTTGGACGTGTTCAAGGCTTCTTGCCTCCACCATGTGTTTCGGCGCAATCCCGCTCACGTGCGTGCGCCAGTCTGTGACCATCTCCTTCGGGCGCACGTACGAATCATATACTTGGTCGCCGTTGAAGTTCACGATACTGACGCGAGCAAGTGCAGAGTCACTGTCCGGGTTTGGTCCGACGCCCACCATTTCACAATCCATTGCGACATATTTTCCTAGTTCGGCGCTGGATCCTGATAGTTAGTAGCTGGCAGCGAAAGGACAGTCCAAATAGTATGGCTGTACGATCTGTGGTCTAGAACTTACGTTGATGAACGGCCTTCATTTTCCTTGTGACGCGAACTCGTCTCGATCCTTGGAGCTGGTGCATCGGCTGAATCGCCAGTCTCTTTCTTATCGGACATTCTCTTGCGCTTGGTTGGTTTGGCGTCTTTGTTATATGGCTTTTGCTTCTCTGTCAACTTTCGCTTCTTCACAATGCCATCTCCCGAGTCGCGGTCGGAGGGCTTGCGCTTGACAGTAGAATCTTTCTTCAAGGTCGCCTGCAACTTCTTCCAATTACTGGAAAGCGCCGTCTTGTCCATTCTGTGTCTGTTGGTGAGAGAGAAGATGGGAAAGATAAAAAAAGACGATAAGCCAGTAAATTTTCGGGACCCACTTTTCTTTTGGGGTTGATAGTCAGGTACTTCTACATTGCTAGGTACCTAGGTATATGGCCAGTACTATCTACGATTTATATTTATATGTATATCAATTGAGTGTTTCTTGAGTGCTTGAAAAATATTGAGATGAAACCTGATCCTAACTTATCTAACCTTAGGACCACATTATATGTCCAGATAACAAAATGCACGCGCTTTTAGAGGGAATATGCAGAATCATTCGTACCCAGTCTTGAAATCCTTCGCAGTCCACTTCTCCGTAATCTGTCTCCGGGCCTTGCGTGCCTGCGTAATTGGTGCGCGGGACTCGAGCTTACCCTGAACGATCAATGTTCGGAATCGGTCATCCAAGAGATTGCCTTCAGGCTTCAAGAGTCGTAGAGAATCCTGCAGCTCATCAGGAAGCACCAGCTCCAACGGCTGCTCGGGTACACTAAAATAACCTGTTAGTCGCAAGGCAGATATAGGAAAATGAACAAAAACGTACGGTCTCTTGCTACCGAAGGGCTTCCTGCGGAGGGTAGTATCATCACCGTCTTCAGAATCATCTGCATCCGACTGATTCTGGCGTTCGAGCTCCCGTTGCTTGATTTCCTCGGTGATCTTGAGAATATGCTCGGCCTGCGCATCTCTCTTTACCCTCGCTGCCTCCCACTTCGCTTGCCTCTCTGCTGCCTTGCGTCGGTTGGCCTTGTTGCGCTGTGTCTTGGTCTTCCGCTCGGGACGCTTCTTGTTCAGCCACTCGGACTTCTCATACTCGCTTTCGAAGCCCTCCCAGGCACTCTCATCATCTGATTTCACCTCGCCGGTGTCATTCTTGGCCTCCTCAATCAAACGCTGCTTCTCAGCTTCCTTAGCCTCTTCCTCCAACCGCAGCTTCTCGGCCTCAACCGCCTTGGCACCATGTGTCTCCAATAGTTTGTCCCACTCTTCGAACACAGGGTTGTAACTGGTTCCGGCGTGCGGCGTCTTAACAGAGGGGATGGGCTTCCCATTGGCAGCAAGTGAGATCGGGGCGTGTTTTAATGTGACCGGCTCAACCTTGGGCTTGGGCTTCTGCAGGAAATCAAAGCGAGGGTCGTCGTACGTGAGCGAGGGTTCGTTATCTTCCGCCCACGGGTCGTAGAATTCATTTTCATTCTTCTTGCCCAGAGGGTTCCCTTCCTTCGCCACTTGCTTCAGGCGGAGATAGTCCTTACGGCTAACCCAGTCACTCTTGGGCTTCTTCGTCTTGGGCTCAATGACTCCGTCGGTGACGTTGGGGTTTCCACGCTTTCGACCATCCAGGGCCGGGATCATTGACCGCTGGGCAAGGATCTCGTCTGACTTGAGGGGCTTCTTTTGCTTTTTGGCGATAGACTTGCGCACTTCTTCATTACCGACAGTATCGAGAACGAAAAGTTGATCGGAAGGCTTCTCGGAGACAAGACCACTACAAAGAGAATATAGTTAGAATTTCAATTCACAAGTAGAGAGCCGGAACCAAAAGAAAAGAGCAGATGTAGACATACCCTGTGATCTCGGCCTCCTTCAGATCGCGCAAACCCTCCTGTACATCGGTGATATCGACATTCTTGCGCCACGCCTTCTTGCCCTTACGAGAAGGTTGCTTGAATTGCTTCGGGGCGTCCACGGCGGTCGACATTGTGGAAAACAACAGAGACAGACAGTCAACGTTGATAGTATGAAAATATCGGCTTATCTTTTTTTCTGGTCCAAAAAATTTCTGGATCTGCTTATCTCAGCACGCGCGGGGGCGGTGATCGCGGCTACCACGTTTACCGCGCTTGGCACCGAACTCGCTTTTCTTCCGCTTCACGCTGTCATCACTTCCGGCGCGTGAACTCCCTATACGCCAGTGGGTTGTCACATTCCATCTTCCTGGTGGCACCCTTGATCTTTTACTATCGCTTTTCGAAGGTTTGACATTGCGCTCAGCGCGATCGCACGCCATGCCTGTCGTCAAAGGAGGTGTCTGGTAAGTGCCACTGTTGGAACCTGCCCACGAGCTTTCGTCGCTAACATAGTTTTAGGACCAACATTGAGGATGAAGTGCTTCGGGCAGCCGTACGTTATTTGTGACCTACTGGGAACCTTCCTGATCCAGCTTTTGATGGGGCAAAAACTGACTCGATCGCAGGTATCCAAATATGGTCTCAACCAGTGGGCTCGAGTCTCCTCACTGCTCGCACGGAAAACGCCAAAGCAATGCAAGGCGCGCTGGATTGAATGGTTGGACCCGGGTATTCGCAAGGTCGAGTGGTCGCGGGAAGAGGATGAGAAACTGCTCCACCTTGCAAAGTTGATGCCCACGCAATGGCGCACAATTGCCCCCATCGTCGGGCGCACTGCCACACAATGTCTGGAACGCTACCAAAAACTTCTGGATGAGGCTGAAGCTCGCGAAAATGACGAGCTCGGTCTGGGAGGACCCGGCGAGGAGAGCGCCGCCCCCAGTGCGGACGATGTCCGCCGTCTACGGTACGTGCATTTTACTAAATATTATGATGTCCATGTTGCTGATACCTTTTAGACCCGGTGAACTCGATCCGGACCCTGAGTCCAAGCCCGCCCGTCCCGACACTATCGATCTGGATGAAGATGAAAAAGAAATGCTGAGCGAAGCGCGTGCTCGTCTCGCCAATACACAGGGTAAAAAGGCCAAGCGAAAGGCCCGAGAGCGCCAATTAGAAGAGTCGCGTCGACTAGCCGTTCTCCAGAAGCGTCGTGAACTCAAACATGCCGGTATCAACGTCAAGGTCGTCACGCGGAAGCCCGGTCAGATGGATTACAATGCAGACATTCCATTCGAAAAGCCAGCTGCTCCTGGATTCTACGATACAATAGAAGAGAAAGACCAGAATGAACGCCAACGCGAGGCATTCGATCCCCGGAAGCAGCAACTTGCAAATAAGAGAAAGGGTGACCAAGACGACGACGCGGGAGCGCAAGAAGCGCAAGAACGATAAAAGCAGTGCTACAGCCGCCTCTGCCGCAGCTGCACGAGCAGGTCAAATGCAGAAGATTCGTGAGGCCGAACAGAGCAGCAAACGACGGGGTTTGAACTTGCCGGCACCGCAGGTCAGTGAAAGCGAAATGGAAGATATTATCAAGATGGGAATGGCAGGGGATAGAGCAGCTAGTCGAATGAGCGCCGATGATACAGTCACTCGGGAACTTATTGGGAATTACTCAACTATTGTCGGGGGAACTCCTATCAGAACCCCGCAAGCTGCGCCGGAGGAGGATCACATCGCCAACGAAATCAGGAACATTCGAGCTTTGACTGAAACTCAGTCTTCCCTCCTTGGAGGAGATAACACACCCCTCCATGAGGGCGGCTCATCAACTGGTTTTGATGGAATTGCTCCTCGTCGGCAGGCGATTGTCACTCCCAACCCCATGGCCACGCCATTCCGCCAGGCGAATGGCATGGGTGCAACACCTATGCATGGTGGTGTTGGGCCTGGTGCTACGCCATTGCGCACACCGCGTGACCATTTAGCTCTGAACCGGGAGGGAGAGGGTGCCCAGCTCATTGGCAGCACACCTGAGAGACATTAAAATGCACGAGAACCTCACTCGCCAACAGATGCGCAGCAAGTTGTCCTCGCTTCCTAAGCCCAAGGAATTCGAATATGACTTTGATATTCCGGATGAGTCCGCCGAACCCACCACTATGGAGATCAGCGAAGAGGATGCGGCTGAGCGTGATCGCCGTAACAACGAGGCCCGGGAGAAGGCCGCCAAGGCTGAATTCAAGCGTCAATCACAAGTTTACCAACGAGGTTTGCCTCGTCCCGCCGTTCTCGATCTAGACGCTTTGTTGCAACGTGCCTCGCAAGTCACCGACACCATCGAAGGCCTGATTGCCAACGAAGCCGCCGCCCTGATTGCACATGACTCTCGCAAATTCCCCGTCCCGGACGCGCAGGTTAAGGGTCAAGCACCAAAGTTAAGTCAATTGGACGACCGGTTCTTGGACGCAGCGCGAGCTTCTATTGCCGCTGAGATTGCTTCCACGGAAGCACAGCAGTCGGAATGGCAAGAGAAATTCGACGACGGCTGGTCGTCAGCTCGCGCCAAGTCTCTGCCTGGTCTTGAAAATTACGAGGATGACGAGCAGGACCCCTTCCAAGAAGAACAACGCATGATTGCGGCCTTCGACACTGTTCAAACATCCCTATTTGAAACCGCTGAGCGCGGAAACAAGATCGAGAAGAAGCTCTCTTTGCACTATGGCGGATACCAGAACCGTGCTAAGACGTTGCGGTCGAAGATCGTGGAGGCTGGTGCTGCTTTGCCCGCCGCTATGAATGAACTGGACGCTTTCCGTACACTCCAGATCTCTGAGGAGTCGGCTCTGTCCCGGCGACTTGAGAGACTTCGTGAAGCAGTGTCATTTGTTATGCGGCGTGAGCGAGAGGCTCAAGATTTGTACAAGAGCAGAAAAGATGAGCTCGATGAACTTCTTGCTGGAACGGGTACGGTCAATGGATGGCACTAGGTAGTTTGCTTTTTTCTTGTTCTGCGTCATGACCACAATATCTTGCTCTTCTGTACAATTACATCACAACACTCAGTTGACCTTGGGATCCGTTAATTGATACAGTTCCCTCCCTAACTCTGCTTTAGCTCGATACTTCTCCCCAACAGTAGAGCTTTGAAGGAATTCGTCGGTTTCCATCCATATCCCAATCACATTGAAGATATCATCATCCACAGGATCCATACGACCTTCGCGAATGATGTTTCGAAAACCATCTAAATAAAGCACCCGCAGACTTCCAGATCGGAAAGCCTCCTCGTCGGCAATAATGAGATAAGTCACCGTAGCGTAGTTTTGCAATTCCATCGCGCAGCTATCAATAATTGCATCTCGGTCCTCGCGCCAAGCTTCCGTGTCTACTTTCGCTTCGGCAAGTTGGGTTTTGAACCTAGAACGGAGACAATCAAGGTGTTCTCCATCACAGGCCCGCTGAATCCTGAATCTATCATCGACAGAGGGATTAATTGGGCCCGCGACTTCAGGAAGTATCTCGTACACACGCCGCCACTCCGAGCCAAAGTTAAAGAGATCCGCATTATCGAGGACCGCCCACCAGGCTTCTGATTCAAAGGGATCTCCGCTAATCCAGTGAGTCATTAGATCATCGTGTCTAGCTCTCTCTCCTTCGTCGGCGCTATAGTGCGTTCGTAGTAAAGCGGGACATGTCTTATCATAGAACATAGTCATTGCGTGCCATCGAAGTAAGTCGTTACGGTAAGGTCGGAGGATTGTGTCCACTTCCTCGGTTGTAGGCTCACGGGGCCGCTCGACACCTTCTTGGAGACTACTCCAATCTTCTGTCCATTCATAAGGAAAGGATTCCTCGTCGAGGAAGTCAGTGACCAGCCTTTTTCGTTGCTGATCACGGGTTTCGGTCAAGGAGTAATTCCAGTTTATCTGTATTGTATAGGATTAGCATGCGAAGTCAAAGTCGAAAGGGATGACATACGATGAAATATTGTTCAATAGCCAGCCTGCCCCATGGAGGGGGAGGCAAAGTATCCATGTCATTCATGACAAAAAGCTTGGAGAGATGGGGAAATGAGGGAAGTGGGGAGGATATGCGGGGGCTTAGTATATGGACATAAGAGATGTTACTACATTCTATCCAAGCTATGTTTTGCCATGAACAGTTTGATGAAAGATTACATATTGATTAAGCTGCTTGCTCAATTGATAGTATCCGACTTCTCAACGGCCCAGGGCCTCTCCAGTCTCCCTTCCATGAATCAGTGTCACGCTTCCTAGTCCCCCCGGAAAATATCAAGCTATACAAGAAAGATATAAGTCAAGATCCATCAATAAAAATGCAACTCTGGTATTACTATTCGTACGTACCGATGCTATATCAAACGCCTGGCTTTGGAGCATCGGACTTTGCAACCTCAGGCTTTGGGCCCTCGAGTTCATCCTTCTCGTAGATCCCGGCAAAGCGCTTATCATACTTGGAAAGAGCATCCTTTTCCGCCTCCGAAAGAACAGGGTAATACTTGGCATATTGCAAAGTAGGGAGAGCCTCCAGGATGCGAATGTAAAGCGCAGTCGAACGATCGCCCACAACAGCCGGATCATTCAGAGTGACCATGTGTCTGAAGTACGCATTGACCTTGTGAGCGTTGACCTCGTAGAACTCATGAGGAGTACCCCGGTTCGCATAAACGTGGAAGGAAAAAGGGACGTCGCAGAATTGCTGGCATAGTTCAGCGATGGTCATCTTGTCAGTTGTCCAGCCATCCCAGCCGTGCAGGACGAAGATGCACTCGGTCTTGGATGCGCGGGCTTCCTCAAGAGCCATTCCCAGGTACTTGCCAACTCGGCTGATGGGTGAGACCCGGCTGTGGGCGGGCTGGATGATTGTCTGCATCTTGTGGGGACGGAGACCCAGGAGACCGAATCGCTTGCGGTGCTCGGCGACGGTGATGATCAGCAGTGAGCGGAGGTATTCGTGCATTTGGTTGCTGTTGATTTCAGCGTTCGGGTAATTGTGGTCCTTCAGGTTTGAGGCTCGGGCGATGAACACCACCACTGGGCCGAGGCGGTTGCGGGGAGAAGACAGGTTTATCTTGGACGGGGAGTCCTGGGTGGTGTTGTCATCGACGGGGGGAGGACGGGGTTTGTCCGGCGACTGCTTGATTTGAAGCATGGCTGAGGTCGATAAATTGCGTAGAGCGTGATTGAGGAGTTAGGAGGGAGGAGGGAGGAGGGAGGAGTGAGGGATGAGGGAGGAGTGAGGAGTGAGAGATGAGGGAGAAGAGAAGAACGAGTCGACACCTGAGTTGACATGGACGTTTGTTTACGTTTACGATCTGATGGTGTATACACGTATACACGTATCCAAGTGGGAAGGTACGTCTCAGAGGAAGGTGCAACTCAGACTTGAAGATCACATGGACCTTGGAAGTACCTACATAGGTATGTAGGTATCTAGGTAAGATGACAAGTGAAGCTGAAATACTGTAAACATACAAGTCAATTGGTGAGATCCCTTGGACACGCCTATAGAAAAGTGACAAAATGATATTGTTATGAACCCATTTCACGCGGTTCACCGCTTCTTAATGCTGACATCGATCTTTCCAATACCCCAGGCAGCGACAAAGACTGTGAGCAAACCCGCGAAGATAGTGAAAGGCTTGCGCAGGGCATCGATCATAGAGTGATCGTACGTAACCTAAGGTCTAGTTAGCACAACTGTGAGATGAACAAGTGACAGATTAGTACATACCACCAACTTGGAGTCACGCGCTTCGTCGGTCAGACTGTCAACCTCCAGGGTCAAGGTGGTCCGGCCCAGAGTATCCATGTAAGTCTTGAGAGAGCTCACTTGAGCGTGAATGTGCTCCGCGCCAGGAAGACCATTGCTGTTGGTTCCCTCGAGGATCTCGAAACGGACATTGTGAGCGCCTTCGGGGAGAACAACGCGCACAATCACACGCTCATACTGGATGCCCTCGGCCATCTTAGGTCCCTCAATGAGCGGGACCTTGAGAACATAGGAGTCGGAGTCGACACCCGCGGCACGGCGCAAGAACGAAGCAAGGTCATTGTTCCACCCAATGCGGAAGCTGTAGTTCCAGCCTCCGAAGATCGGATAGCGGGGCTTCAGCTCCAAGTTACCAGCGCTCTTACCAACGCTCGGACGGTAGCGGCTGGTCGAGACATTGCCGATATCATCAATGAAGTAAGGGTCGACAGAGCCAGGCAGAAGCGGATAGGTCAGCTCGCGAACCGCCGATGTAGGCGCTTTCTGGTAGTTGGAGTAGGTCCAATCGACACGCGAGAACTGGTTGGTCAGTTGCGAGCCGTTGTTGCGCAGCCAGTACCGTTCCTCAGTTGCAAGGTTGCCGCCCCAGTGCGAGACTTCCAAGTCACGCTCCAAAAGGTTTACGGTGATGACGGGTTTGGTGAATTCGTAGCGAACAGTAATTGGGTGCTCGGTGCCCGGGGCCACCTTGGCCGTGTCATACGGGCCGTAGGTGTATGTGGCGCCCTTGCGCTCGGGGTCCGAGCCGGACTTGAGGCCATCAGTGGTTGTATAATCCGGCACATTGGCGCTGGGGAACTTCAACTTGGTCTTCTGTGTATCCGTCGTGTAGGCGGATGGCATATAAGCGGAGAACGAGTAGGTGAGGTATTGCTTGTCCGCCTGTTGAATGGTCGCAGGAAGGGGGCTGAGAGAGGAAAGTACAGAGTACGAAATTCCGAGGGTAATCTGCGACTTCGGGGCCAGAGGTTCGGGAAGGTGAACGACGAAGTACTGGTTGCCGCTGTTTCAATGGATGTTAGAATTGGTGTCACGGTGTATCCTCTGGCGTGGCCATTGGCCTCCCAATTGATACTCACTCAGATGATACAGCTTCAGTATAGTCCACATCAAAGCGTCCCTTCTCGGGGGCCTTCTTATCCCTCACTTCGAAGCCTCCAACACGGTCAAACACCTCGGCAGAGAAGGGGATGTAGTAGTCGTTCTGGGGCTGGTTGTCGACATTCTCCACAACAACATTGATCGTTTCCCGCACATAGCTCTTTTCCAAATTGGTATTCCGAACCAAATTTGTGTTTTTGAAGACCTGCGGGGGCTTGAAGCCGGACGGAAGATCCAATCGATTAGGCGTAGTAAGGTTGGTTGCGGCGCACAGGCTGGGCGCGAGCAGCCCGAGCACCGTGGCGGTGAAAAACCTCATTCTGAGTACCTGGAGGACACAATTTCTCCGAGGTTCAAAATGCTCAAAAATCCGAGATGTGATTGTGTCGGTCGATGAACCTAAAGCTTGCGAAGCTGATGATACGTGGTCCCCATTGTATACTAGGGTCGCCGAAGCGGCCACATCGCGCACTCCGGCTTATCGCTGATAACGGCCTAGTTTAGCTCGGGAGCTTTCTCCTCATCTCGCATCTTTACTTCTTGCATACTTGTTTAGCAGGCTCACTTAGTTGGGGGTATAGCTGAGTCTTCTTTTCAGCTACCGTAATGTTGTCACACACGATGTTTGCCTCTCGAGCTGCTCTAAGGTCCTGTTTGAGGGGAGCCCAGCTGTCGTGTGCTCGGCGTTACCACGGCCTTGCCCAGAGCAAGTTCTTCAAGGTGTCAGAAGAGGTGCGTGATGCAGTTGCTACAGGTAAACCAGTTGTATCACTTGAGACGACAATTTATACACACGGTGAGTCTTTCTGTGTTCATTCTGGGGTTGAACCTTGGAAGAGCTTCGCCCAAGAGCGGGGAAGCCAAGACTGATCGGCTGTAGGTTTCCCTTATCCTGATAACATTGCTCTCGCTGCACTGTTGGAGTCTGTTGTGAGAGCCAATGGCGGAGTTCCTGCAACTATAGGAGTCCTTGATGGTGTTGCCAAGGTTGGTCTGAGTACGGAAGAGCTTATCGAGCTGGCCTCGACGGCTCAAGACAAGAGCGCTCTAAAAGTGTCTCGCAGGGACCTCGGATATATCTGTGGCATGGTGAGTTAGTAGCTACAATGGCTCAGAGGACTGAAACTGATCTATATCAGGGAATGGTTGGTAAGCCAATGCACGGCGGTACTACAATCTCGGGCACTATGATCCTATCAGAACTAGCTGGTATCAAGATCTTTGGTACCGGTGGACTAGGTAAACCCAATGATCGAAGTCCAATTGAACAATGAAGTCCATCTGACTTGCTATAGGTGGTGTGCATCGTGGAGCAGAAAGCTCAATGGATATCTCTGGTAGGGAAAACTGTGGAAACAAACCCAGGATCACCAATTATTGACAAATGATTATAGCTGATCTTACTGAACTTGGACGTACCCCGGTGACGGTGATTAGCTCTGGATGCAAGAGCTTCTTGGACATTCCTCGAACGCTGGAATACCTCGAGACCGAAGGTGTCTGCGTGGGTACATTCGCTGATGGCCGGGATGGCGCTGTTGACTTCCCTGCTTTCTTTACACGAGAGAGCGGCGTCCGCAGTCCCCGAGTCATTCAAAATGAAGCTGAAGCTGCTGCCATAGTTTGTAAGTTTACCCCCCCATGCGTTGAAAACTACAGGCTCGTTGACAGGATTTTAGATGCGCAATCAAAGCTTCCAGTATCCTCCGGCATCCACTTTGCCAACCCCGTTCCCCTGGAGCACTCAATCCCCAAAGCCGAGATGGATCTTGTGATTGAAGAAGCTATCCGCCTTTCCCATGTAGAGGGTTACCACGGCAGTGACAACACGCCATTTGTGCTTGCTAAGATCAAGGAACTAAGCGGTGGAAAGAGCGTAGTCGCTAACCGGGCCTTAATTGAGTCCAATGTCAAGCGTGCAACCCTAGTAGCTGTGGAACTTGCCAAGCTTGAACAGGCTGACCTAGGAACAGGGTCTCGGTGAGTTTGTTTCTAGATACGAGATACGAGATGCAATCAATGCTAAGTTCGGAGATCTCCTTCCCTATAGACACATGCCATCAATCCCAGATGTAGCTTTACCAAATCAAGTTGCCTCGCAAGTTGAAGATATCCCTGAACCAGGCAGCACCGAACCTATTACACCGACGATAAAGGCAGACGTCGTGGTTGCGGGTTCGCTAGCCATCGACCTGTCCTGCGACTACACCCCATTCGGAGACGAACTCACACAGGTTGCACCAGTACCGCATACCTCCAACCCAGCAATTATCGGCCAAAGCCTAGGCGGCGTTGGCCACAACGTTGCTGTTGCCGCCAACTACGTCGGCAGCGACGTCCTCTTCTGCAGCGTCGTCGCAGACGATCTCAGCGGCCGTGCCGCACTCTCAACCCTTGAGAAAGAAGACCTCGGCACCGAAGGCATCCAAGTCCTCCCAGCAACACCAAGCACCCGCACAGCACAATACATCGCAATCAACGACATCAAAAAAGACCTCGTAGTAGCCATGGCCGACATGGGCATCGTCGAGCTCCCCGAATCCCAGCTCGACTTCGACGGCTTCTGGGAACCTCTCCTCGAGCGCACGAAGCCAAACTGGGTCGTCGTCGACGCCAACTGGCGACCCGACGTGATAGCCAAGTGGAGTGCTGTGGCACGCAAACACGGCGCACGCGTAGCCTTCGAGCCCGTTTCAACAGCCAAATCCCGACGTCTATTCGGCAGCGATGCGAACAGCACCGGCGCGACGATCAGTCCTAATCAGACAGTTCCAGATAATGCTATTAGTCTTGCGTGTCCGAACCGCCTCGAGCTGGCGGCTATGTACACCGCTGCGCGGGAGTCACTTCTTTTCGAGTCAGCGGGATGGTGGCATATCATTAACTCTATGAATATGTCTCCGACGGGCTCGCGAGAGCGTCTCATTGCACTCACCTCGGTATCTCTCGTCGACGAGGGTCTTCCGCAGCAGTCTGTTCAGCTGCTTCCTCTCATTCCCTGTATTGTTACCAAGCTCGGTGGTGCGGGTGCTCTCCTTACTCAGCTTCTGCCGCCTGGTGATCCCCGTCTTACGGATCCGGAGTCTGCGCCGTATATTCTTGCTCGCGCGTCGCCTGGATCGGACGTGCTTTTCGGTGGTGTTTACATGCGTCTGTTCTCGCCTGCTACTATTCTTGGTGACCAGGACATTGTCAGTGTCAATGCGGCGGGTGATACGCTGCTAGGTGTTGTGGTGGCTGGCTTGGCCAAGGACCCTTCTGTGCGCATTGAAGATGTCATTCCTATTGCTCAGGAGGCAAGCCGTAAAACATTGGCTAGCGCTGGTGGTGTGAGCAAGAAATTGGTTGAGCTGCGGGGCTTATTGGGACTGTAATAGGGTTCAAATGGAGACATGCGAATTGAATGATGGGCTTGGACGAGGAATGAATCCAAACATACTCAGGTTCTTCACTAAACCCAACTATAGTAACCCCGTTATAACGATCTCGGATATAACGAATATCCTGGATTAGTTCGCTATAAATAGGTCTTACTGTAGTAGTCTATCGCAGATCTTGTCCTTTTGAAGTTTGGGACTGGGTCTGGAGGGTCTGAAAAGTGAGACATCTCAAGTCCGATCTTCAATTGGGCGATCCTCGCGTATTCGTTTAGTGAATTTCCTATCTGGGATTTCCTTTTCCCAAAACGGAAGTGATCCAACTATGTTGTATATCTATGGATGGTATGGCCATCAGTTATTTCAAAATTTTAAAAATTCTACTTCTACTCCCTCCTACATCCTTATACCATTCACCATGTCCCTCACACTGTCCCTCGGCAATCAAAAAACATGTTACTCAGACAATGAGACAATATCCGGTCATGTCACCCTGCGATGTCCAACCCCTTCCGACATTCAAGATCACATCCGCGTGGTCTTCGTTGGCCGAGCGAAATGTCGAATACAAAAGGCCAAGAGATCAGCAGCACCCTCCGCAACATATCGCAGCAAATGTATTCTATTCGAAAAAGAGCGCATCCTTTCACTCCACGACTGCCAAGCACCTTCAAATGGCCTCTTTCAGTGGCCATTTGAATTTCTTTTCCCTTCTCACGTCCAGCCATCGACGAATTCGCCGCGATGGCCCAAAACCACCCCTTTCTATAATGGCGCAGGCCATCCACTGCCACCGACATTCACTAAGAAAGCGGAGGACGACCTAAGACGATTGGACTGTGTGATCGAATACAAAATATACGCACAAGGATCCAAGATACAACGAGGCTTCCTCAGCAGGAACTCACCATTTCTATCTGAGCCTATCCGATTGAGCTTTATGCCTGCGTCGGCCAAAATGGTCCCGCTTGCGAAGGACAGCTTTCCCCGAGCCCAGTCGCGACGAGAAGAGCAACTGTTCAATATCCGGAGCATGCACCTTCTTCCCGGACATGAAGGTAGAAACCTAAGCGTACAAGAGAAGTTCCAGTCCTGGCTTTCTCCGGGAAAATTGCCTCATTTCTCATTCAATGTTGCTTTCTCCTACCAGACCCATGTGGTGCAGTCAAGGCCACTCTCGTGTACTTTGAATGTTGATCCTGTAATCGAGAACTCCTCTATCGGCTATCCGCCGCAGATCCTGATGCAGTCTATCCACGTGGTCGTGACAGGTCAAACTGCCGCCCGAGCTACACCGTCTCTGGTGGGGGTGATGTCTGCTGAGGTGGATGAGCGCATTGAAATCATATCCAGGCCTTCTGTGAACGTCCCGGTATCAGGGAGTGTGGACCTGGACACGGTGATTGGACCCTTTATATTCCGGCATACGGATATATCTTTCCGCACGCTCAATATAAGTAGAACGTATAGGTTATCCATCTCGATTGTGTTCTTGTGTGCGGGGAAAACTGCGGAGTTCAAACTCTCAGATTTGCCTATTGAGGTCATGGCGAGCCAAGACCCTGACTTGAAGAGAGGACACGAGAACATTTCCGAGGATGACTCCCTGCCGTCTTATTCCCCTCCGTTCATCATTGTCCATGGGGATTTGTGAGTTCGCCGGGAGATACGAACTCGGAGAGAAACAACACCGTTGAGATGTTAAGCTGGGTTGTATTATGCAAAGTTGTGATCTTACATGTACAATGTTTCTAGAATTATTATAGTTATATGAAAGGCATGGTTGTATTTTTCTTACTTAAGGTATGGAGAATGATTCGTGCTCTGAGAGTCGAAGAGCTCTACTACTGTAGGAAAATACAAGGCCTAGACAGTGTTATAGCTCTCTATTATTTCTAGTAATATTCTAGACCGAATGGACGTACGTTGTTACGTATATTAATGTTTTATGATGCGCATCATAGCAAAACCCTAACTATTGATGTCACATGAGACCTCTGATGCAACTAACTCCGCGGAGGCCAAATAAGTCGAACTTCAACTTATAAACCATGGTTATGGCGCAGATAATACGAAGAAAATAGAATCCTAAATAATTGTCTTCTTCCAAGGTGGCAAACCCTTGCACATGCGCCTTAAGCAAAAAGCTTCAAATTATCGACTCTCGGAGACATCATACATTTCCATCACGCCAAAATGTCAGAGCTTATTGATAACCTTAGCCCGGAAATCATTGCAATAATTGCTCAATATATTGAAAGCAAAGACTTCTTCAACCTTCGCCTAAGTAGTCTATACCTGAGAGACAGCACCTTCGCTCTCTTCCTCAAGCTCTACTTCCGCACGCGGACCCACATGCTAAGCCGACACAGCCTTATGAATCTACTCGACATATCGCATCATCCAATTTTCGGTCCTTCAATACGATCTGTGGTCATCACCACCAACCACTTGACCCCGGATGGACTTTCAGATGATCCCTATCTCCAAAGCCGAGCGGAGCGGAATGTCTCCCCTCCGATTAATAAAAAGAGCTATCGTGAATATTACATACAACAAAATTCCTTCCGACAATCAGGCCTGGACACAACATATTTATCAGAGATACTAGCGAATGCGGTCCATTGTCGAACTCTGGCCCTGGCTGACCACGATCAACCCTGGGGAGCTGCATTTCTACAAAGAGAAACGGGAGTCTACCCGACCTCAAGTATGGAAAAGGAATACAGCAAGATCTACATTCAACAAGTGACTCATGTAATCATTGCCGCTGCAACTGCCAGCGGGGCCTTAATAGAGACATTCGAATTGGATGTTGGACTTGGACGAGCGATGAATCCAAGCGTGCTCAGATTCCCTGAGCTTCACCGAATACAACTCCCATGGGCTGGGACACTCACTTCATTGCAGCTCTTGATGGGTGCGGATCATGATGAAGATCCACATGTTTGGTCTAAGCCTCTCGTCGATTTTATCTTGCTCTTTCCTCGATTAGAGGTACTCGATCTGTATTTCGATACACGTCTACAGCGAACGGGATTCCAGGCGCTCAGTCACGCATTGGATCTACCAAATCTTCGAGTTTTACGTCTTGGCGGCTTTGACTGTCTTTCAGATGACCTGGTATTGCTTTTCGACATGCACCAAAACACGTTGAGAGAAATTGTGTTAAACAACGTTGGTATTAATACAAAACCAGAAGGATCGTGGCAGAAGTTGGTGACTATGCTTGGCGACCAGCTTCAAATCACGAGGTTGGAAATTATGGGATGCTATGTGGATGGACATTTGATATGTCTCCAAAAGAGTGATATTAGCTTGTCAACGCGATGACATCACAAAAGAAAAGGAAAAGAAGAGGGGTGTATTCCGTGGGACCGCCAATGGCTATGGAGCTTATGCTCAGCCATGACTTTATTAAAGAGCTCGCACGAGAACTGGAGTTTGATCAGGGTGCGCACCGGCATACGGCAGACCTCAACAATGGTAATGTTGACATCTCCGTAGATATAAGCACCAGGTGCCGGGCACCCTCCGCCTACGCTGTCTCATGGGGGGCTACGGAGAGACATTGTGGTCGAGAGGGTTGAGAGGAAGAAGGAAGAAGAAGAGAAGAGGAGGAAAGGTGGGAGGAGTCCTTTTATACCCCAAACAACACGCGTACCTTCCCAAACCCAACAACAACACGTACACACGTACCTTCCCAAAATGGACACTTCCTCTTGCCCTTCACATATGCAGGGCTACTCAGGCTGTCTGTATTTTGTCTGCATAGTAGAGCTCTACAGTGGACAATTTTGTCAATATCAGGTGCTTGGGCAAAAATCGTCAGTTACTATATGTCTGGTTTCAGTTATTAGCAACTGGAATGTACATAGTAGCTCTGTATCTCCTTGACACTTGTTGCTCATATTTGTCTGTTGAGAACCATCCAGTAGTAACAACGATTGTATTGCTTCGGTTTGCCCCGAGTTGGGATTTCTGTGCCGTTGTTGCCTATAGCTAAAATGATATAGAACATTCCTTCCAGGCATATAACCTACTATGGTAGGTCAGATGTGATCACAAACAGCCCTGGAGGGCTTGGCCTTTAAGGCTAAGTCTGTAAGCAGAATTGGATTAAATAGTTAAGACGGTTAGTCCTATTGCTCTAATAAAATAAGAGAGCTACTTATCTTTATTTTCCTTTATCAGAAAAGAACTCTATGGCTCTATGGTCTTATAGATACTGCATGGTGTATGCTACCCTAATCTTAAAACATTGAGATAGGAAAGGGGATAGAAAGAGAGAAACGATTATTTCTTTTTTTTTTTCGTTTTTTCATTGGTGGGGAGGGCTTGGAAACCTCCGCACTATGGCAACCGTGTCTCAACCGCTTTTCGGTTTTTAGGCACCCCCCAATGAGCTTAGCGCATAGACTTGGGCTGGCCTGTCGTCACTTATTGGGCTTTCTTCAGATGTACCATGCGGCGGCACGGTGGACATCGTCACCAAATATCCGATTTAACACTTGGGCAGATGTGACAGACAGGAGACAAGTCACTGCCAAGCCAGCTTTCTCACGTCCTGATTCGACACTACCTAGGCGCTAGCCGTTCCTGCATCAACCCCCTTCCGTAAGAAGTTCTGTCAATGTGGCTCAGCGCCTTATGCTTGGGGGGCGTATTGCCTATACCATTTATATGGACCTGAAATTGTTAACTACTATAAAATACAGTACTCGGTTGGTATAATACCAAGCCGAATATTACATCCATGGATTCCAAAGATTCTGCCAGCCCGGTACATAAGCAATTGCGTCCTGGTTCCCCACAGCCACATGGGATAGTCGATCACCTGCTGATAAACCGGAGTAGTTTGGTGGCTTTGACTGTGTCCTCCGTAATATGGATGTACTAGGTACCTACAGATAGAATGCTAAAGCTGCACTCTAAGACATTATACATGTATCTAGGTACCTAGTTAGTGCATCTGGGAATCCAGCTCGAAAAGTGTTTGTTCTATTCCAAAATATAAATGCATGGTCAGCCTCGAGTTGTTCACTTCTCGTTTTCATAAAGAATATCACTCCTTGACCACTGTTATATTCCCATAAATCCTTTTTGGAATTGGAACCTTCTTCCCCTAGGTTCTTCTACACCACGCTTCCCGACGCAATGGGTCTTTCTATCGAGGCTATTGTCGCAATAATCGCACTATTCGTCGCTTTGATCCAGCCTTCATGCAACCTTTGGAGATATATGTCAAGAAAGAATTCCAGACAAGGTATGCCTAAGCTCGTTGTCATACATGAAAATTATGGTGCCTAGGGAACCAGGCATCAAATTGAGTCATCGGAGTCCCTGGACTGTCAGCTTTCTTTTGTTACATGTCCTTAATCTATTTTCGTTAATCAGTCCCTTATTGCCATTTCTGTTTTCCGTTCATTGGCTTACTTTCCATTTCTATAGAGATGGTGCCGACGCAAACCATCGAAAACACATACTCGCACACGCAACGAGACATAGAACAGCAGCCCCATAATGGACGTGGTATGATCTTCTTAAGCATGGGGTGCACCTATAAACATATGGCTGACATATGCTTCCCAGATGATTTAACAGGAGCACGTTGGAAAGCGCGGAGGTGGGAGGAGTGGGAATATTACCCATGATAGACATTTCTTCTTGACTGGGGATATGAAAAGGCAGTCCAACATTCTTTCTGCTGCGTTGCTGCATGAATCAAGTACAGGGGCAATAGTATAGAATAGACTAATCGTCAGCATGGATGTATAGAAGGTTAAAAGTTAAAAGATGGTAGAGTGCGCTTTTTCGTCAAGACGTAATTTAGATCTATTGATGGCTCTTTTCTCAAAATAGATAGGGCTAATCTAGAAATAAGGGTTGAAAGCGGGGAAGGTGGAGTTCTAAGAACGACCACTCATAGCTTTATTAGAACAAAATCCTATAGTTCTATAGCCATCATGCTAGCCTAAGATAAAAATACAAATTGAAGGAGACATGGTATGTCATATGGCATGCTTTGTGTAGTATTCCCACTCCCACTTCCGCGCTTTGTAGTATAGTCCCGTCGAATCATCTAGAGCGTATTAGTTAGCCATATCTCTTACGGACACATCCAACTCTTACCTAAGTAGGTCACACTGCGTCCATTACAAGGCTGCCATCTTAGGTCTTGTGAAATATGCGGGAATGGGCTATTTCCGATGGTATATGTCGGTAGAGTCTCTATAGAAATAGAAAGTAAGCCAACGAACAGAACCTATGGGCATAGACATACCTCGCTTGGAATTCTTCCTTGATAAGAATGTCCAAACGGTGCATAACGGCTGGATTGAAGCGACGAATAGTGCGATGATTGCGATAATAGCTTCGACAGAAAGACTCATTGCGTTGAGAAGCGTGGTGTAGACCCCAGAGGAAGAAGCTTTTAACTCCGTAAGGGTTTATGAGATATAGCAGTGTTCAAGTAAATATTTGAAATAGCAGAGAAAAAGAATCTGGATTAAAGTAGTTAAGAGATAGAAGCCAGAGTACTATACATACATGTAGGTACCCTTACCCTTTTATTCTACGTTGCGGTGTAAGTAACTTCACTCCTTAAATTGGGGCAGTCCAGCTTCGGCCTCCGAGGGTGCAGGATCTAACTGTTCCTGACAAGACCGACAGCAAATAAAATCAGGGAGTTAAGAAGGCCTGCGCCTACTTGCAAGGAATGAGAATGAAAATGAAAATCGGCTATGTAGTGATTGGTTGATATTCTGAACTAGTTGTCACATTATCCGATCTGTCTCGGATGTTGTTTTCTTGGCGCCAATTTCAGTATACAGAACGTTGCGCACCCCGGGAAAATGTATTCCTTTCTAGCTAGGGATGTAATGTATAATAATGCTGGAGATACATTCAGCATAATCCAGCCATACAGATCTATAGTCTGAAATGTGGTATGGAACCGACTAATCGACAAGCTCATCGAGACCAAAATAGGTTTGACCCTATCATTTGAAGGCTAACTCGTAGAGAGACCATGGAAACAAGCTTGAAATCTGTGTAGAATGTGGGCGAATAGGCACCAAAATAAGGGGGAAGGACGGTGCTGATAATGCGTATGTAGATTGTCTCCGTAGTCCCTATTAACCTCCATGCAATCATCTACAACATGATCAACAGACTAAAACACCACTCAAGACTCAATAGCCTTTCCTTTGACGCCTTTTGACGAAGGCACCAGTCCCGGGTCCAACAATCCAACCTGCACAAGCACACCAGCCTGATCCCAATAAAGACTTTGGCGTGTGATCCGACCGGCAGTGAAGCTTGCCACCACAACGACGATGACACTAATATCTCGATTCGTCGGCGAAACACCAGGCAGCAACCATGGGATCTCAGCAGTATGTTTACAAGCAAACAACATCTCATCCACGATGCGATCCGCACCCACAGTGCGCGACAAAAGGCGGATGTGCTGATCAACCGGTCCAGCAGGGATATACGCATGAGCGAAGAAATCTCTCAGGCTTGAGATATCAGAGCCTGTAATATGAATATCAGTAAATTCCCGATCCAGATTGTAGAGAATAAAAGCGGGAAAGGGGAAAGACTCACCCCCCAGCCTGGGTAGGAATACACCTCACGAAAACCTCACCAGCCGGACACCCCATCTCACCATAATGGTTATGACCAGTCAACATCTCAACCGCCGACTCGGTACCATTACTATTCTGATTCCGTTTCCGCATCTCCAGCTCGCCAGTTACGCGGTCCCAGTATTCTTCCCAGACAGTCTCGATATCAAGAACAGCCCAGTGACTGCCGACATTGAACGAGCGCCGCAGACACGACAGCGCCCGACTCCACGCTAGCTGCGAGCTGATCTCGTCATCCGCGTTTAGGTCCATATCCACCTCGCCTTCTTTCTCTTCCGCGACTTCCCGCTCCGCAAATCCAGCTCTGGACCCTGGGTACGTGTACACGTAGCAGCGATGTTTTTTCTTATAGGTGACGTCGCCTTCCGTGGCACTGAGTTCCATCCATGGCCAGAATGCGCAGGCCTGGACTCGTGGGCCTGGGATGTGGATTTGGATTGGGAGATATGTTGACTTGGCGGCTGGGCCGAAGATCGAACCTGTGTCTGAGCAGCCTGGAGGCGAGCAGTCCTCTTTTCCCCTATAGGTGAATTGGTCTGTTGAGGAAAGGGGATAGTAGGTTATCAGGGCACATAGGTGTGGGAATGGGTTTGTATTGCTGGCTATTGTGTGGTGTAAGGCCAGGAGGAGGTAGGCAGGTCGGTGATATGCTGAGGTATATGGTTAGCTTGGGTTTTGCTATATCTTGCAGGTCTGAGGTGTCTGCTTTGAATAGTGAAGCATGTATAGATAGACGAAGAATGGATAGATAGAAGACGTACCCACTATCGCATACCGCTCTCCATTCTCGAGTTCGTCTTCTTTCTCGTGCACGATATTCTTCAGCACTTTTGTATCCTTATCTTCATCTCCGCTGCCAAGAAAGGGGATATAGATCACCTGGAATCCTTCCGCCTGGAAGCGGTGGACTACATGGGTATCAAACTGCACGGTGTCGGAGATCAGGATGAGATGTCGAGGAGATGGCTCTTCATATCGCCAGCTGCGTCGTCTGCCGGAGCTCGTGCTCACTGTCCGATGTATTCCGTGCGGATGAGATGCTGCGGAGTTGGGGCCCGTAGTGTCAGCGTCTAGATCTGGCGGGCTACCGCTGGAGCTTTGGGCTCGGCGTCGAGTCAGGCGTTGGAATATGTTGACCATGGCCTGAATGTGGTAGTTGATGGGATGATCTGTAGATTGGGAATTCGGGAGGACATGTACCCCTGTTATTATATACCGGGATACCTGTTTCCTGTTCGGAAAACTCGGATTGCTGTTCTTGGTATTACATATGTCAAGAGAGAAAATGGATGCCGAGCGGATTGCCAATGCTTAGGGTCTTGGTGTGTGACGTAGTTGATGTTACAATCCCGCGATAAGATAGGGTAGGGCTGCACATTTTCCTGGGCATGCTTGGAAGACGCATCTAGTACGATGTGAGATGACATGTCAACAAAATGATCCTTCTTCTATGTCTATTGAGAGAAATGATCTGCGCTATAGAAGAATAATCGCAATGCAGGATATTCATCTCACCAACCCCGAATGGCATGATATATCTAACCCCACTTAATCAAAACTCAACAACCACTCACGATCCTCGCTCACTTTCCCAGACGTTTTACCGCTGTCAACAAGATAGCACTTGTAAGCTTCACGCAGCAGACTTTCCCGCGCAACCTCACAATCCACCCGAATATCCTCCACCAATGCCTCCAGTGAGACATAATCAAACTCAGGCCGGATATAACCCAGAATCAGCAGGTTGAGTTTTGTTTTATAGAAATCCGGCAAGCGATTGAACTTAGTCTGACCCTCCTGACCCGCAGCGGTGGGGGATGGTTCTGTGAGAGCAGGCATAATATGGATTTCCTGGAGTGAGCAACCGCGTCAGCCCGATACCTCGCCAAAACATGCGTTTCAACATTTGGCAGCATTCGTCTAATTTATATCACATATTACGTACCACAGACCGCACGGTGTTCTTATAGAAAGGGTTATAACCGATACTCAACACGGCAGGCAAAACCACCGCAGTAGATGCGCTACTCTCGGATATCTCATGTTGGTATGTTTTCGGATCGAGCGCTACAACGCCGTAGTAGACACCGGTTGTCAGTTCTGGGTGCTTCTCGGAAAGGTCATCGGCGGGGATGTTGGCGGTGGGAATTCCGAGCTGCAGCCATCCGATCCGGGAGAGCAAGTCAGCGGAGGGTCTATTGCGTGCGTTGCGCTGCGCGATTATAGCAACGGGGTGTGGTTCCCGGACTCCTGAGACATACATCTTTGCTTCCGCGGCCAAATCCCTTGATCACTGGCCCTGACAGTCGCACTGGATAAGGAGGCTCCGGGCCTGCGTCGGGGCCGGCAACCGGGTCGCGCGGCTTGTCGGAGCGCATGGCGGATTCTGTCGGGTGAGGGTAGGGTAAAGCGTGGATATTAGCACAGACAGATCTGCTAATATATCGTTTCGTTTGTGTGTACTGCCTCTGTGATTTAGCAATGGTTTGGCGTGCTGGCGTTGAGTGTGTCTGAATACGATTAATCCTGGTGGGGGTTATCGCGATAAGGATACATTGTGCATAAGGAGCCTGAGGTACCAGGCATCAATCCACATGCAACACCAACGCTCCAACAGGACACAGGCTTATTCTTTAGTTCTTAGCCTCGTTCAAGTATAGCGACTTCAAAAAGTACACATGTATGTTGTAGTTTGTGAGTGGTCCTGCTAGCTAGACTGTGGGTCTTTTGATATATTTGAGCTTTTACGTCCGCGCAATGCGCGGTAAGGTAAAAAAATAAAGAAAAGAAAAAGCACTGCTAAATGGTGTACGTACTGGAGTGGTGAAGAAAAAGCAAAAAAAAAAAAACCAATAAGGGCAGCTTGTTACACCTGAGACAGGATAAGGCCACGGGACTTGGTAGGGTCGGCTTTCCATGTGAGGTTCCAAGGTTGGATTAAGCTTATCGTGGTTTAAAATTAGATCCATGGATGGTCTAGGGCTCAACGTGGTCAGAAGTGACCCACTCAATATCATTGCATTATGCTCATACAGTAACGATCCCGTCCCAGAGATATCATTTTTGTCCCTTTTGAGCGCCGCAAAAAGAAAATAAAACAAGAACATATCAACAATCGGGAATTGGTTCCAGGGATCCAAGCAGCATAACATATGTACGAGAACATATAACAAAAAAAGACCCCGTCCGCGAGTGGTCCGAAGGAAATCAACATCAAAGGGAATCATACAATCCCAGAACCAGGAAATATGTACCGGGTAGAAAATCAGAATAAAAGAACAGGCCTGATGTTAGGCCTTGCCGAGGGTATGAAAGGGTAATTGAAACAAGATCAGAAAACAAAATCAAAAGAGATCAAATGCATGGCAAGAACTAGAAGATGGCGAATTAGCATGAGACCAACCGTAAAAGCTTTCGTGATCCTGGTTAGAGACTTACATTCATCACAATGAGCATCGGGATATCAAACACATCGCGTTTCACTGTCCAGCAGTACGCGCAATCGACTTTTCCGTCCTTGAAACCGAGCTGGTTCATGCCAGCCTCGCCAGCAATGCCACCCTTGCGGAGGTGGTTGTTCCATTTTCCGTTATCATCGGACTGCGCAACCTCCATGTCCTCCTTGGTCTTGTATTTGAGCAACTTGCACCGAGTCATGACACTACCACGAGAATCGCCGAATGCCAGACGCGCAAAGTCCTCGTAGAACTCTACGACGCTGTCGTCGTCGAGGAGCTCGGCCAAGAATACCGGCTGGGGACGTCCAGTGCCGGAATTCTCCAAAGGTAGACCCCCGCGGTGTGAAACTACCGCGTGACGTTGTCCCGGACTGGGGTACGGCAGAACCACCAGTGTTGACGTTGAGATTTGTCTCTTTTCCTAGAAGCACGTCTTTCTTCCATCCGGTTAGGATGCTGAACTCCTTGCCTACTGCGGCAATCTCGCCGGTGCGTCGGCAGACGATGGTCGGCGTTCCACAAGCATTGATGAAGTCCTCGTACTCCCAGAGCGTTCGCTGGAAGCACTTTTCCATGAAGATGAGGTCATCGCGATTAAGGGTCTTAGTAGTCGCGATGAAAGAGGGTCGAATAGATGCAAGCGCCTTGGCAATTCGCACGGTCTTCTGCGGCGTAAAGCGACGTTGAATAAAAGCAGTGAGGTTGTGGAAGCCACTTGTGTAAGCATAGGGCTCCTTCACGCTTTCGTAAATCGAAGAAGGATTGCGGTGGCGCCGTTTAGGACCAACCTGCAGATTTGGGTGTTTCAAGATCGATGCTGTCACCTGGCGTTGTCCATTCGGTACCAGGCTGTTGGACTTTGGAGCAGGAGGTATATTGTTGAATGGGCCGTCGTCAAATGCAGCCGTTGGAATGTTCGGGCTCGGGGCCGAGCCAGGACTAGTGAAGCTTGCTGGCCCACTTTCGATGGCAAATGCATGTGGTGCATTTGCTTTCATGTGTTCAGGGAGCATGGCATTTGGGGCATACACACCGCCGACATTCACATGCTGGCCCGAGGCCGGTCCGGCCGACCATTCATTTAGGAGAGGATCGCCGAACATGAAAGGTTGATTTCCCGGGCTTTCTCCAAATCCAGGAGCTGGTGTGGAGAACTGGGCTGATCCACTTCGGCCGATCGACCCTCGCTGTCCTGCAGAATCAGTAGGAGAGTCACCGGCCGCCCCGGTGGCCATATGCCCAAGCATGCCGAATTCCAGAGCACCGTATCGATTTTCGAAGTTCATGCTCGATAGATCAAAGTTGAAGAGCGCTGGATCACTGGGATCAAAAAATGGCCCTGCAAAAGGATTTTGGGACTGACTTGTATCCCCAGAGAGAGCAGTACTCGGAGTAGGCTGCTGGTTCACAGTCGATGAAAGACTCGGATTTCGACCATTGGTGCTGCTCTTCATGTTAAAAGTAGGTGAGACGGGTGATTGCGTCGTAAAAGGGCTTTGGCTCATGGACGAATCTTGGTAGGGATTGTAAGATCCTGTCTGCGTCTGGGGCGTAGGGTAAAAGTTGTTATTCGTGGGATTGGTTGGTTGTTGGGGGTGTTGTTGGGTGTGTTGCTGGTTGGAGTTGACAGAATTTGTGCCATTTCTAGATATAGGCAGATTATTGCGAAGCGTGTTGTTGTATAGATTGGTGTTGCTGCTAACAGCCGGCATCAACGCCCCATCAGGGGCATCATGGAGATACTTGGCCTTTTTGCGAACACCATCATGGCAAGCATCTTGCAGACCACGTTTGATGCAACGTTGACACGGTCGTTCGTCGCCTAAACCCGATATATATTAGTCAGATGCCTAATAACGGCTAGAGTTAGTCTATCATCATACCGCAAGTCAAATGGGCTCGTTGGCATGCAAAGCAAGCTCGCCGGGCCTTCTTCCGTCGCGGTCGGGAGGGATCCTTGGCATTAGCTGCTTTGCGGTCCGCCTTGCTATCGCCATTAGTCTTGGGCTTTACGTCCATTTGTTCATGCTCTGTGATATCGGCGGAGTCACGTTCTCCACTGTAGTCCCCCGCAGGAACTGGGGAGCCGTTGTTGTTCTCCATGTTCATTTCGGCATGTATCCCGAGGACGGATGATCTATGGACGCGTCCACAAAAGTGAGGTAAATCGGTGTTTCAAACCCCGTAGGCCACTTTCCGTGTCTTCTTGTGTTTATCTAAAGAAACAAAGCGTGGTGGCGACAATACCAATGATACCATGCGCGCTTCGATCTCGGCGGGCGAGCGGATCCACGTGCGAGATACAGCCCAGCTTGTGATAGAGGGAAAAGGAAACGATCGCAAATTGCTAATCGTCCGTGTTGAGACTCGAAATCCACCCAAAATCGCCTCGCGAAGGTCGGAGGGGTCTCCAGGTCTTGGTTCCTATAATCGCGCGTTTGCGACTACAGTTGGTGGGGAATCGGAGGCGGAATCACGGCGAGTCGAGTCACGGGTGTAACGGGGGACAATCGACTGAAGATGCGACGGATGTACGATGATCTGACACATTGAAGGATTTCAATGTTCCAATGTGGTTTGTAGATGGGGAGAAATTGGCGCAAAGCTGACAGCAGAAAAATCCCGCAACGGTTTCGGGGCTGAACTGAGAGTGGAGAGGTGGACGAGTCCGTTCGGTTGCGGGGAAGGTATGAAATTCTCTCCAAATGCGAGAGCCGTGCCGATGCAAGGCCGATCGATAAGTTGGGGAAAGAAAGAAAGTCGAGTGGCAATGCAAATATTATTCGCGGGGAAGGTTTGAAGAAGAAGTGGATGACTCTGAGAATGGGCTTCTCGGAGTGTTCCCGTGACTAGTGTCTAAGCAACAGTTTTAACACGAACACAGTCCAATTGTAAAGGACTTGTAAAGGACTAAATGAGACTATGACTGACGAAATTTTTAATATTATTTTTTAATATTTATTTGACAATTTCTTTTGTGTATTTTAGTGCTCTGTTTCGCTCTAAGAAAAGGCGCAGGGCTGGCTATACTTCGTATGTAAAACAAGCCACTATTTTACCTAATTAAATGGGGTTTTTTCTATTTTTTCTTTTCTTTTTCTTGCTACCCAACATAATCCACGTTGGGCATGTCTTAATATATAAAAATATCTCTGCTCAAAAATCCTGGGAGTGTATTGTTCTTCAACTTCTTCAATATGAGAGGGCTATATATGTATATCATACTCACATGCTGACGTTCAGGGCAACGGTCACTGGAGGCCGGCATTTGATTATGCCAAGTATTACAGCTTTCACAGCATTACCGGAAACAACAGGTAATTTAAGCGCGTCTACGAGCTCTGATTGGCCAAGTTATAAATCCTCCGCCAGATCGGGTTCAGCGCATACCGGATGACCTATACTATTAGTAACCCCGCAGGGGAATTGCGCACGTGCGGGAACTTCCAGGTCGATTGTATACTTTAGACCTTGTTCTCCTCTTAAATTACTAAACATTGAATGCAAACCTTGGAAGTATCTCCAATTGAGTCATTAATCCTTCTACCAAAGCCAAATCCATCCCGAGAAACCCCGCTCCAGACTTTCCACAGTTCTCGGCATTGCGCTCCGATCCCGTTTTGCTCCGAGGCTGGCTGAGTGTGCTCTGCCGAGGCTAGAGAGCTTCCAATATATCGCTCAGCTACGACGAATTGCTATAGAGGAAGGATTGTCATGTCTGCCTGCAGCCGGGGTTAATTTGGTTGGGGATGATTGCCTGTGACTGTATTCCAAGACCACATGACGCTCGTATGCTTCGCAACTGGCCTGGTAGACTGGGGTTGCCGTCGGAGAATTAAAGCCCGGGCCAGGTTCGTCCAACTTCTATTCTTGGAGTGGGGATCTATTATTCCTGGTGCACCAAGCACGCTAGTGGAATCAAAGGCTTCATGGTCTGCTTGGGGCCAGGAACGGCCATATCGAATATGCAAAGGTGTCTACGTGTGGAATCAAGTGGAGCTAGGAAGTGAAGCATATATCCTTGCCGATCATGCGTATTACTGACTATGATTTTCTGCATTGGCTTTTGAACTGCAGGCGGTACAGCAGCTGGAGGCGTTTAGGTTTTGATCAATTGTTGCAGGCCAGGTTGACCCTATCATCCTCAGTAGCCAAACATCTCAGCCCAGGAGTTTCCCAACATCTGGTGATGGGATGCCGTGTTCATCGCCTCCGGCACACCGTGTCCAGGTGAAACCGTTTGGTAAACTGTTGAGATGCAATGACACCGAGGGTGGACCTGTGGCTGCCCTCGTAAAAGAGCTATCCAGCAACCGACTTGCTTGAGATTAATGTATGTATGGGGGTATCATATGTGCACGGAAGTACTGATCACGCCTGTGATTTTGCGAACCGGCTCTTACTTCGGATCCAGCTACCGTACCGAAAGAATAAATACCTATTATGAATGTCAGTACAACGTTCACTGGACAGAACAGCTTGTTTTGAGTTATCTGGTATATCAGAATTCCATGAGATGACTTGCTCGAGGTTCAAGATGCAGGGGAAAGTAAATAGGGAGGCCATAGGGTAAGAGGAAATCAAGTATGTCAAAACCAGAACTTACGGAAAAGGGGTCATGACAAGGGTCAGAAACGCTAACAAGGAAGTTGCCCAGTGATATCCGAGGTTGTTATACACTGCATAACCGTTAGCTATAATGGTTACGTCCCAACTTGTGTGCAGGCAAGAATATAGCTGTCAAGCATTGAGGAAGAGCTACAGATCGGCCTGTTCAAAATGCAACGCATCGACCCGCACTGGAAAGATGCGCTTCATGCAAAGCACGGGCGTCCAATTCTTGTCCCAGAACGGAGAGAGTGCAGACAAACTTACTTTGCATCCCGAATAGTGGGAATATGCCTCCAAAGGATGACCGAGTGAAGCTGTTCGCTGCCAGAGCGCTGGCGGCAAATGTTGGATACGCATCGACAAGGAATGTGAAGATTCCCGAGTAGACCAGGATTGTCCTAGCAGTAACACAATCCATTAGCATCACACAGCTAAAGAAAGCCAGAAGATAGACAGTGATTGTGAAACCAACGGGTGGTCGCCCGGTCAGGTGAGGTTCTAAGGTTGATCTTACCCTGCACCAAAAACAGCACTGCCAATGATAGGCGCAATCCAATGGACATTCGGGTAGATTGTCCAAGCAAAAATGAAAAGACCTATAGTAACGAAGGGTCCTCCCAGAATCGCTATTCCATCGAAGTCAGCCATCATTTTTCCTGGCCTTGGCACCTGAGCAATTCGTTGGCAAACGCACCTGGGGGCAGTCGCCACTCTGGCTGGAAGTCGTCGAGCTTGTTCGTGGCTTTCTCATGGTTACGCTCCAAGCGAGCGTAGTTGCGGCGCCAGATTGGATCCGACAAAATGGCTATAACCATTCCGACAAAGAGACCAAGGAAACACAGTCCGCGTTGCCATATTACGAGCCCATACACCTCGGAGAAAACTAGCTGGAAAGCACCGAAGAAGAGGTACAGAATACCCAATAGGATGGCCGAGAAAATGCAAAGGCATAGACACATGGGTTCCAATGTCAAGAGCAAGATGGGCCGGTACATGGAATTCATGACCGTGTGGGCCACAGAGCGCTGCAGCTTTTCGATTGGAGCTTTCCATCGATCGTCTCCGGTCTCCTGGCGCAGCTTCTGCGCCTTGCGCCTCAAGAGTCTGGAACATTCTTAGCGTCGCAGTTATTCCGGGACCTGGAAATACATACACTGGGTGATAGGTCTCTGGAACGAAGAATACTATAGAGGCGAGCATCCCTCCCGTCCAAATCAGGAGCACATAAAACGTCCAACGCCTGCGAGTGGTATAAGCTTCAATAGTTACCAGATTCGAAATGAGGACATACCATGTGGTGAATGCATTAATGAAGCCACCAACCCTAGTGGTTCATTATTAGCATCGAAATCATGTCGTGAAAGTCTTGTCTTCCGGAAAGAGACCTACAGAGGACCGACTTCGGGGCCCACAAATGGGCTCGCAGTGTAGAGCATCATAGGAAGGGCAAGTTCATGGCGATCAAACATGTCACCAACAGTACCTCCAGCAACACTCAAGAAGGCACTGCCTGACAATCCATTGAAGAACCGAGAGACAAGCATGGTCTCAGTATTCTTAGCCACCGCGCACGGAATAAGCCACACGAGAAACAGCGAGAACGAAACGATATAAATGTTTCTCCGGCCATAGAACTGAGCAAAACCAGATCAGTAACTTAAATATCTAGCAGCAAAGGATCTCAAACGAACCTCAGATAACGGACTCAGAAAGAGCGGACCAATTCCTAAATTGAAAAGCGTCAACACAGAATCCAGCCCGCGAAAGACGACAAGATCAGCACGAACCAAGACCCCAAATAAAAAACGACAATCCAAGAGTCGCAATTATCTGCGAACACCCAAACTCACTCATCAATTGGTCATATGTCGTGGTATACATCGAAGACGCACAAGTTCTATATTCGGTTGATCAGCTTCTGTGCGGCGCAGAGAAAAAAAAAACCCCCCGAACCGGCGGTATACTTACACGCAAAGCGAACCCATTGAGACAATAATCACAACCAGCCACCGTCGGGCTTTGCTCATATTGCGTGGATTCATAGGATCGTTATCCTCCCAGCCCACAGTATACGCTTCATCCTCACTCGCCACCGTAGCCTCGTCGACTTCATGGCCGCCAATACTGACGCCGTCGTTCAATGACCAGCTGCGTTCTAGGGACCTGGATGTGACTGATTTAGACGCATTCGAGCGCTCTTTCTGGAGTGGTGCACCGCTTTCATCGTGGGTACCGGTGATCGGAGCGTAAGTCACTTCGTCGGATTTGGTGCCGTCGAATTCGTTGTCGCTCTTATCGCTAGAGTATCTTTGGGGGCCAGTGTGGGCTTTTTCTTCGCTGATGTCCGGGTGTGAAACGTCTGTACTTGACCGCGGAGACATAGTCAAGCAGATGGCCAAATGGTCAAAGATCAGGCTTGCTCATCTAGCTTGTTTTTGTGTTAGCGATGAAGTCATAGAAAACAAAGCGAATGGTTTGGAGCTACCTAGGCATATGTATGGACTGGTGAATATGTGAGTCACTACCTGAGAGAAGGAATTACTATTAGCGTCTAAAATGGAAATCAAAAGTCCGAGCTGATCAATCAATGGCGATCCCGGGGATAAACAGTCTACGGGGGCCTAATTCCGCGATCTCGAAGCCGACCTCGGGTTCCCGTATAGCCAATTAATAATAGCCTTGGACATCATGAACTGTATTTCTGACATGTATAATTTTACCTAGTCTACTAGCTAGATCTAACGAATGCATTGACGTTTTCTTCAGTGTTTTAACTGGGGCATTGGTGCCAAGAACTTAAACACGTGTGGGATGCCATGTGGTACATACATAAGTCTCCGAGACGAAAACTCCGAAACAGTCTTGACAAGTATAAAAAATGATAGAGATAGAGATATGTTCAATTAAGCTAGAGCTAACACTACTACGGAACAGAATCAATTCATCAATGTCGCTCCCAACCTTGGCAGGGACCAGATTCCCAGACAAAAACCTAACAAAAAAGTAGTAACCAAAGTCCTGTCTCCGAGCCATCCCTAAACTCCTGATAGTCGTCCAATTGAACGCTATTCCCAAAAAAAAACACCGGATCTCAAATCGAGATATCCACAGAACCACGCCAAAGTCGAGCTGTACAAGAAAAGAAAGATGCGCCAATAGATCCCAAATTTTGATCAAGAGGACACATCCTCTACAGAGCCTGGCTGAGCTGGCTCATGGCACCAGAAGCGTTCTCCTCGGCCCAAGAGCCCCAGAGTGCCTGCTTGCCACTGATCTTGAGGGGACCACCGATAGACTTGGCGCCCTGGTCAACCTTGACAGCATCTTTCGTGGCCAGCACCAAGACTTCGAAGAACATCTTAGTGGCATCGGCCTTGCTGGACCGCTGCTCGGGAAGAAGATCCTGGAACAACACGCTCTTCTTCTGCTGGGTGGCCGGGCTACCAATCTTCTCGCGGAGAATGTGCACAGCGTGCTTGGTGCCCATTGAGACCGGCTCTGTGTCCACGGGGTGCGCAATAGTATCGTCCAGCTCCTCCATGGGCTGGTTCATACCTTCATCATCACTCAGGCGCAAGGCGTAGTCTTCGTCATCTCCAGGGAATTCAATCTCAGAGCGCTGGTTCATAGTCGTATCAAGAGCGATGCCCTCGTCAATTGGGACGATGGCTTCCTCGTCACCAAGCTCAAGGGCAGGAACGTCGACGGCAGCGACATCCATGTCGGAAATGCCACTGTCGCGCTTGCGCTTCAGCTCACCGGCCTTCTTGACGGAGTCCAAAGAGAGCATGCCGCGCAGCTCGGGCGCCCATCCACGCCCACGGTCCTCGCCAAACACACTAGACACAAAGTTGCCATTCTGCTGTCTGGTCATGAGGGTGAGCAGGACAGGGTCACGAGGCAAGAATGATGCGGGCTTCAAAATTGCAGAACGGTCATTCTGCTGATCCTTGATCTTTGAGCTGGAGATTGCGACTTCCTTGTCTAGTCCCATAAGCTTCTGGCGCTTGGCGCGCTGACCCTGCTGGGCGCTAACGGCATCAGGGGTTGCAGACACATCTCGGTTGAATTCCTCTTCAAGCTGATTCATTTGATCGGATCCAGCATCAGAAAGGGGGCTTTCGGAGTCACGTTCGAATCGGTTGTCGGCAGCACGGGGAGTCTCGCCACCACCAAAGTCGCCATCGTTGTTGAAGTCCATGGGGCCATCTGGCAGTAGGTCGTTCAGATTGTCATGGACATCATCACCTAGGTCCATTTTGTCGAGAGCCTCATCATCGCCAAGGTCTAGTCCCAGATCGTCGTCGTCGTTGAATTTTCCAGCGTCATTGAAAAGATCTTCCTCCACAGGACGAGGAGCGGGGGCATCTCGACCAATTTCCATAGTCGGGTCATTTCCAAGTGGCAATTCATCCTCACCCAAGTCAAGATCAACAAGGGAAGGGTCTTCAAGGCGTGCAGGTTCCTGAGAAACAGAGCGGCGGAAGCTACTGTCTGGGAGGAATTGGCTTCCAAAATCCATGCCACCAGGACGTTTGGCAGCAGGCTCCAGGTCTAGGGTCTGAGGGAAAAGCAGAGAGGTATCAAGGTTGGTGAAAAGGTCAGATTCAGTAAGCACATCGGGAAGAGTAATGCCGCCTGGAGCGACGACAGTCGAAGTCATGTCGTTGTTGTTTGTGAGACGGAAAGCCTGATATATGATTAGACTGAACCAAAACACTATCGATCCAAAGGAGTGCGTACCATTTTAATCTTCATCAGAGCTTCATTGCAATCATCGAGGAGGTAGCGAGCCTTGCGGCTGTAGATTCGAACCACACCCAGTAGCAATTGGCCACTCAACCGCAGAGCCATAGGGGCTTGACCCTGATCAACAATAGCATTGACACTGCTCTCGATATCCGACTGCAGGATATGCGACTTCGAAAGTTTGCGTTCGATGTTAGCCGACAACCAAACGCGAGCCAACGGCCCGGTTTTCGACAGGAGGGTCTCGGAATAGAACATAGTGTGTTTGTCGCAGCGAGATACTTCACAAACAGCAAAATATCTTTCACCAAATTCAGTAGGCGAAAAGACCCACCCGGCGCGGGGGTGAGGTGTAGAAGGGCGACGCGCTGAAGCCGGGAAAACAATGACTTGTGCGATGACTCGCACTCAATAATTGTTATGAAAAGGTAGATATGTGACTAAAAGGATAAAAAGTCTATCACTCGATCTGTATTCAAGACATCGAAGACGATGAAGATGGGGAGGGTATGTGCGCGCGAGGGATATCTTGGAGTTGGCTGAGAAACCAAGGAGGAACGGAAGATGCGCGTCGGTGGGAATATCAGGTGGCAGCCGTGGCCTGGGCGGGAATTTTGCTGATGTAATTGAGGGGGCTGGGAATGTCGAGTCACGTGTATGGTATACAAAGGAGAGCCTCCGTACGAAGTATCACAACAATGAATTTTGCGAGTGAAAAAGCTAGCCACAGAATCAGGTAAAGAGAGAAAAATGTATCAACGTAACTTCCAAGAAAGATTCTGAGGAAATCAGTAGAAAACATAAATCAATGCTCTTCTGGAGTACATCGTATACTCTGCCCTACACGTGATACATTGCGCTAGTCTACATGTAGTAACCGGATAAACTCCCTACCCGAAATAGCTAGGCCGCAACGGGTAAAGCATCATCATGGGATTAGCCTCTTCCAAGTGGACTCGATGCTCTGAATGGGATTATTTTGCGGTTTGGATTATAGCAAAACGCTCTTTCGAATTGGTTTTTTGGTCCCAAGTCATCTGTCGGTCCCTTGTTCGTCGTCGACCGACTTGCGCCAACTCCGCAAATCCAGCAGTTAGTTAGCCGCCCCCGTGTGAAGCTGCTGCCAGATCGCATCTAACGTGGATTTTGCCGAAGCATACTCAATTCTTATCGCAGCGGCATGAAAATCACTTCTCGACATATCTAACGTCCTATTTTATCGTTTTTAATAATCCATCCTACAAAGCATGAGCAATGTCAAGGTCCGCAACACCTTCATTGCCTTTGCATAATGCATCAAACGCCGACTTTCTTCGGCCTCCCTCCACAACGCCCATGACCGGACGGCCAAGTGCTCCATCGTCGGTAAGTATATTTACTTAGTTCACGTACTGCATGTGACACGTACTTCCTCTACCTCTTAATACCGTTGGACAATGGAGTTTCTAACACGCGGTCTTATTCTGTACCAGACCTCCACCTCAACATATTCGTGGCTCGAGCCTCATGAAACTGCCGAGCGACTACGAACCTCCCTTTTACACGGCCTAACACCAGCCGAGGCAGAGATACGCTTGGCCAGAGATGGACCGAACGAGCTTCCCCACGATGAGCCGGAACCCCTCTGGTTGCGGTTCCTTAAACAATTCAAGGAGACGCTGATTCTCCTGCTTCTTGGCTCTGCTGGAATCTCTTTTGTGATGGGCAATTACGACGATGCGATCAGTATTACTCTTGCGGTAACAATTGTTGTTACCGTTGGCTTTGTCCAGGAGTATCGGTCGGAAAAATCGTTGGAGGCATTGAGCCGACTGGTACCCCATTATGCGCATTTGATTCGTGATCTTCCAACATCTTCCTCCGCTGCAACTGATAATGGTGGTACATCGCCCCTGGGTTCGTCCATGGAAATGGATGAAATACGGAGCAAAAGCCCAGGCTCGGCGTCTGCCGCGGTCAAGGCTTCTTCAACCGTCCCCGCGAACGAACTTGTGCCTGGAGATTTAGTTCTCTTCACTACCGGAGATCGCATTCCCGCTGATATTCGAATCACCGCAGCAACAGATCTCAGCATTGACGAGTCGAACTTGACTGGAGAGAACGAGCCTGTAGCGAAGTATGCGGAAGCTCTGCGCAGCGCATCTGGCAGGGCCACTCCAGCGCCAAAAGGAGTAGAACCACCTCGATCTCCGTTCTACGATGCACCGGCCACTGGTGCTGTTGGTGCTGACATTCGGTTAAACGAGCAGCACAACGTTGCGTTCATGGGTACACTAGTCCGCTCAGGCTATGGTCAGGGCATCGTTATCTCGACCGGCGCGAGGACGGAATTCGGCAGTATATCAGCTTCTCTACAAGAAATTGAGAGCCCTCGAACACCCTTACAACTATCCATGGATCGTTTGGGCCAGGAACTAAGTTATATCTCTTTCGGTGTCATTGCATTGATCGTGGTTATCGGCCTTATACAAGGTCGTAAGATTCTCGAAATGTTCACGATCGGTGTTTCGCTGGCTGTTGCAGCGATCCCAGAAGGCTTGCCTATCATTGTCACTGTTACGCTCGCTCTCGGCGTCCTGCGCATGGCTAAGAGGGGAGCGATCATGCGAAGACTTCCCAGCGTTGAAACCCTTGGTTCTGTCAATGTCGTCTGCTCGGACAAGACTGGAACTCTCACTCTCAACCACATGACAGTTACCAAAATGTGGCATTTCGACTGCCCAGAACCATTCGAGGTGCAAAGAGAAATGACCTCAGTGATTGCTCCTGGCCCTGCAGCGCAGACAATTCTTCGCGTTGGTAATATTGCAAACAACTCTCGTTTGTCACGGATTCACGCAAACTCCCCAGCTAGCGCATCTTCTGCGGCAGTACTTTCTTCAACCATCAACAGTGATTCGGCAGCTGCCAAGAGTCGATGGGTGGGTCAACCCACCGATGTGGCAATCCTGGATCTAATGGATGCACTGGGGGAAGATGATGTGCGCGATCGTATCAGTGCTCGCGTCCATGAGACCCCGTTCAGCTCCGAGCGGAAATGGATGGGTGTTGTTATTGGCGATCCGAATGGAGGTCCCCATGTTGCCTATATCAAGGGCGCTCTCGAACAGGTTCTAGCGCGATCGGATACCTATCTCACCAAGGATGGTCGGGAAGTAATTCTAGACGAGCCCCGTCGCAAAATCATCCGGGAAGCAGCAGAGAATATGGCATCAGAGGGTCTTAGAGTCCTCGCTTTTGGCAGTGGGGTTGTTCGTGATATGTCTAGAGGTGGCAGAGGCTTTGGCAGTCGGTCGTCCCCGAAGATCGTCCAGGGCGATGATGACGAGCGATACAACGGCTTGGTCTTTGCTGGGCTGGTGGGTATGAATGACCCACCGCGTAAAGATGTGCACAAATCCATTCGACGCTTGATGTCTGGTGGCGTCAGAATCATCATGATTACTGGCGACGCCGAGACAACAGCTGTAGCCATTGCCAAGAAACTCGGGATGCCAGTTAGCGATTCCCCGCATGCACGATCGGTCATCGGAGGCGACGAACTCGAACGCATGACTGCCACCGAACTTGCCCAAGCGATCTCAACGGTCTCGATCTTTGCGCGTACTAGCCCAGACCACAAGATGAAGATTGTGAAAGCACTTCAAGCCCGTGGCGATGTAGTTGCCATGACCGGTGATGGTGTCAACGATGCACCCGCTCTGAAGAAGGCTGACATAGGTATTTCCATGGGCAAGCTTGGCACCGACGTTGCCAAGGAGGCAGCGGACATGATTCTGACGGACGACGATTTCTCGACTATCTTGCGGGCAATCGAACAGGGCAAGGGCATCTTCTATAACATCCAGAACTTCATTACGTTCCAGCTTAGCACCAGTGTGGCGGCACTCAGTCTTGTACTGCTGAGCACTGCTCTTGGCTTCAAGAATCCGCTGAATGCTATGCAGATCTTGTGGATCAGTGAGTACTCTTGTGTCTAATTCATTGCTGTTTGTCTAACAATAATTGCAGATATTCTCATGGATGGTCCACCCGCCCAGTCCCTCGGCGTCGAGCCCGTCGACCCTACTATCATGAACCGCCCGCCACGACCCAAGACAGCCCGTGTTCTGACAAAGCCTCTAATCCAGCGTGTCCTCACCTCAGCCATGATTATCATGATTGGCACGTTGTCCATCTACATCCACGAAATGGGTGATCTCACCGACAGCAGCAGCCCCGTCGAGAAGCGCTCCCGCGTCGTCACCGCGCACGACACCACCATGACATTCACCTGCTTCGTTCTATTCGACATGTTCAACGCATTGACCTGCCGCAGTGAGGGCAAGTCCGTCCTGCGCGGTGAAATGCCGCTGTTCGGAAACAAAATGTTCAATTACGCTGTTCTCGGCTCCTTAGCCGGCCAAGCCTGTGTGATATACCTGCCGTTCCTGCAGCGCATCTTCCAGACCGAGGCTCTCGGCTTCGCGTCCCTGTTCAAGCTGGTCTGCATTGCCAGTTCGGTGTTCTGGGTGGATGAAGGCCGCAAGTATCTGCATGCGATCCGTCGTCGGCGCGGGGTGGGTTCCGGGTATAGCGTCAATGTCTGATCTGCCGATGCGACCAGTGTACGGTTCGGATTGCCCGTTACGATTTTAGAGTTGTCCATGCCATAGGCGTATGTAGTTTTATCACATTTGGATCGATATCCCCATATACATAATAGAATCGTCGGTTGTCGGCATGCATTTGTGTTTCTCATAAGTGATATATGCAGGCCCGTACAGTTTTGTAGGTATGAGGTACTGTTCAAGCCGGTAATAGTCGGCCTCTTACGCATTCTCTATCCTTGATGAAGTCCAATTGTCCGATTCAATAGCGTCAAGTGGAATTCCAGGCCTTCGAGATTCTTCTACGGTGTCTTTCTGTATGTCTTTCTTTGATGTTTCTTCTCTTTCGGTGCTGTAGCCAGCAGAGTGAAAAGGATCAGCCGGAAATATTGAATGTGTGGTGAAAACGATTGTAAAATGCGCACAGCCACCTTTCCATATATACATGCGACTGGTCCAGTCGGTAATGGCAAGATATAATCTTTTCTTCGCCAGATTAAATGCCATTGCCATCTTCTCGACTGTGAAGGCAGCATTTTTGGTCGCGTACGACTTCTGTCAGGCAATAAGTTGATATACCCCCATCGACCCTTAATTCTCCTTCCAATTTTCGCCTGTAAACCCTTCGTGGAATATAAGCTATTTCATATGATTGCCAGACCTAGAGGCAGATATGAAAGCCTAACAACACTTGTTTTCCTCTGCCGAAATCATGTTCTTATGCTCGAGTAGTGATATATATATGTGTCGTAAAATCATAAAGTTACTGGCTATCTAACATTTAGAATGACATCTAGAAAGACAACTAAAAGTATCTCGCGTTATCTCAAGTATGAAATTTCCAATAATATTATATTGAACTCAATAGATCACATTTTTGGAGTCTTCCATACTCAAGCATAACAGCGTAGTCCAAAATAGGAAAGTGGGGACATAGTAGGCGCCAGGGCCAGAAACAACGGTCAAGTACCCCTACTATGTATGTCTACATATACCTGCGGACCACATCTGTACATATGTAATGATTTAAGATCAACCAAATTCTTCAGTTACTTGATGTGATCTAGGGATGTTGGGAGAGTGAACTGATTACAAAGACGTTGGGCTCTCTGTCCTTCCTTTCCCCTCTCTCCAACTTACATTCAAACCCCGTCAACCTGAACGCAACATGTCTTCGGACTATATCGCACCCAACATTGACATTTCCGATGTAAAACTTGTGGATATCATCAAACAGACAGACAGAGCATTTCTGTGCCGAGCCCGCTGGCAAGACAAAGACTGCGTGCTCAAGGTGGTAAGTGACGAAGTCATACAGCGTGCCTGTGATCTCTAACAGGCCTGGTGGTTCCATCCGTATAAATGGGATGAAATTGACCCACGGTTTCGCTCTATCGATCTTCTCAAAAATGAGAGCCGCGCATATAGTGGATTGAAGGCTCGAGGCTTCTGTGAACGAGGATCTGTTCCTGACTTGTATGGGGTAGTTGTGGATATTTACCCTGAGGCGGAGGGTTGGCAGCCTGAACTCAAGAAATTTTATGATAGAACTTTCCCTCAGGGTCTTGATCCCAAGGCTCGCCCAAATGGTGTCCTGATGGAATACATTCCTAATGTGAACGTGTTTTGAGCTCTCTAACTACACAGAGCAAAGAGCCCACAAACTCCAAGAACTCCTGACTGAAATCCACGAGGCTGGGACTGTACATCTTGATCCCTATCCCCGGAACATGCTGATTCAGGGTGATTCAGATCAGGTACTCTGGATCGACTTCGAACTTGCCCAGATATTTGACCCAAAACACCCCAGGCTTTTTTGCCGATGAAAGCTTATTCGTGGGTGCCTTCATGGAAGCACTGGTAATTTTGCCAGTCCTGGTTTGGTTTCGGGGTTCCGGCTGACTTCTTTTGCACTTATAGGGTAGGGATCACAAGCTAGGGGAGTACAAAGAAACGCGGGTGATCTTTTTCCAGTGACCCTTGAGGGGCGGAGTTTCGAGGATCAAAGGCTCTCGCCTATTTTACCAATGTCTCCTTTTGAGAATGTCTATTTAGCGGAAAGATACTTACTCACTTTCTCATTAACAAGGGATACCAATTGCAATACCTTTGAGTTCCAGAAGATAATCTTGGTCATTCTCAGATTGCGTTTCTACACACCTGCTATTCTATGAACGGGTATTATGGGAAATTGAACTACATAGGTATGATCCTCTTTACCATGGAGCAAAAACAAAACTCTGCAGTGTAAGATAAGTATCTTCCGGGAGCAAAAATTCAGTGACCGACGCAGGGATCGAACCTGCAATCTCTTGATTCGTAGTCAAGCGCCTTGCCATTGGGCCAGCCGGCCTGCTAGTTATATGTCTTTTGGCCCAAATGTGCATAATAAGCGAAATTTAAAATGAGACCCACTCCGGATGAGTCCTGAGATCTGATTGGTGCGCTTGTAATCGTCCAAATTTAGTATTCGTTATTAAATATAATTGTAATAGGAGTTGTACCTCGGGTTGTAATCTTTTGCTTTGGTGTAGAGAGTATATACATGTATACATGCAGATGTAGTTTGTTGGGATTTGTGAATATCATGGCCTATGTCTTTGAAGCAATATGTATATTGTACGTACTTTGAACCTCGGGATATTCCTAAATTCCAGGCAATTCCCATAAGGTACAACCCGTGGATGGGCAATATAGGTATATACTACTCCGTACTCCATAGTCTGTATATAATCAAGCTAGAGAGGGTCCGCTCCCAAAGGTATGGGGATTTCAAACTAGCATCGCTATAAATACTCCCATTGTGAAAGATTTCCACGGGGAGAATTGTTCTTGACAGATTGCCTGCTCTAGGATCGCCATGTTGGCCGTTTTGTATCGAATCTTTCAGAAGTTCCAGTCTAGGCGTCTAGTTCTAGACTCTTGTATCTTCCACAGGTATTTCAAGCTCCTGATACTTATTACCTGGTTAGGTATAAAACGTCTTATTTACGCGCTATCTACATATGGGTTAGTGTGTTATGTGATGAGGGTTTGAAAGATGATCTTCTGTTCCTAACATGGAAGGCAATCCCGGTCGCTACTGTAGCCCAAGAACGAAATATTAAAATAGTATAATATCAGAATATTCTAGACTATTATTTACACATATTTCTACTTTTTGGCCAAAAGTGAAGATTAAACCGCTGTTTGTTCTTCAACCCTGCCGAAAAGCCCTTGCCGCGAGAAATTCTTGGCAAATGCTTAACCAAAGGCTTTCTAACTGGACTTTTATGTATACTTGAGAGAAGACACATGCCATCATGTTGAGGTTCGACGGCATTTGGAATAAAGACACCATCAGTGCTAAGTCGACGTGTGACAGGCGCCAAATAGTTGCATCTTGAAGCTCGTGAGCTAGACGTTTGCCCAGGTGAGAGAACAACTCGGCTAATTGGTGATAAGTAATACTTCCGGGTGGTAAGTTACCTAGGTACGTTTTGGGGAAGCCCCACACAAAAAGAACGTTTTTTTCGACCAGTTCTAAGATTTACAACAGTTTTTGGACGAAGGGCAATCTGTTTGGTTATCTCAAGATTTTCATGTGTATGCCTCGGTTGGGCAAGATTTGAAATTGAAACACTTGCAGAAGATCTGTGAATGGTCACATTATAGTTTCGGAGTAACGTCGGAAATGGGTTTGTCAAGGATGCACTAGGTAAACCTTAAAGGTGGAGCCTCGTCAGACTAGTACACAACGCTGCCCAGCTTGTTGTTGATAGTGGCATTCTTATTATGTATGATCAGGCCAGAACGACCGTCACCCATGCTGGTTTCCTACGACGGCATTGACAGTGCGTCTCAGAGAGTTGCACAGCACAATCATGTCCGAGCCAGAGGATCAAAGATACTCGACACCAAGCATCTCGTAGTTTCGGTGATGTATAGGCTATTCCATTCAATGCAACCCTTATCTCAAACAATCCATTCCTTTCGCGCCTACTAGGCAATTGTTAATATCTACAATGGAGATGAGATCATGAAAATGCTGTACAATGTGTGTTGTACGTGAGACGACAGTTGTAGGACCTACGGAAAGGAAGAAAGGGTAGTGCAGACTACATGAGAAACTTTCATGTGACAGAGAGGTTTCAACATATATGCCCTTCACATTTCGTACACCCTCTCCCAACAGTAGCAGATGAAGCTAGAGCGATTATATACATTGGCAAATAAGGGAGGTCTCCTCCTGGTATCAGAAATAGGCCAGTAGCTTAATAATCTGACTGGCTGAAATGTCAAGCTAGAAACCGAAGCCTTCTGCATGACTAAATTGCTGAACCAATAGAACGAGCTAGCAAAAGAACCATCAAGTCGTTCACTTCTGGTTCTTGCAGGCGGCGTTCTCAGAAGCGCACTGAGCCATGTTGGCACCGGGGGCACCGCGGCAGAGATCGAAGGCATCCGAGCAGCAGCTGGCGTGCTCAGCGACACAGGATGACATGTTCGCATCGGGCCCGACACGGCAAGAGTTGTACTGGACTGGCAAGTTTCGGCGCGCGACGACAGAGAGCCAGTGCAGGAAGCATGTTCAGAAGCACAAGTGGCCATGTTGGCATTAGGAGCACCACGGCAGTCGTCGTAGGCAGTCGAGCAGCAGGCCGCCTTATCGGCAGCACACTGGGCCATGTTGGCGCTGGGAGCAGTGCGGCAGGCGTTGTCCTTTGCCTGGCAGTTGGAGGCAGCCAGAGAGCCAGTGGCCAGAGCCAGGGCAATGAGGAAGTTGACGCGAACCATTATGGCGAGTTGGTTTAAGTGAGTTGGAAGAATTTGTGGAAAAGATGAGAGTTGGATATCTCTTCTAGCAAAGGGTGTTACACCTTCTTAAACTACTGACGTTGAAAATATCTAGAAAACAATAGTGTCGATCTTTTCCAGCGGTCAATGGCTTTTCAGCTGGTTAGGGGAGATCGTCTGAAACAAATACTAGTTTTAGAGATGTCTTGGATATATTTAACTATGAAAGTCCTCAATGTAACCCCGGAATGGTCTAAATAGGGCGCTGGCCTTGCGGATCTTGGATATATGAGACATGTTTGTAATAAGAGGTCCACATGGGAACCCATCGAGTAAGTGTTCCCAATCACATATACTCCGTACTGGGCGCTGGATCATTAAGCTATTCATTAGACATAAGAAGACGGAAGTTTACAACATAGGCCCTTTGCGAAAGGTAATAGTTCAAAACCCCGATTAGACATTATTTAATAGAATTGGCAAGAGGATATACAGGCCAGTGGTTGGGTGGACACGGAGAGACCGTTGGTCTCCCTCGTTTATTCTCCTGGTCCGCTTTTCCTATTCACTATTAATGATCAGCATCTAGAAAAAAAGGGGGCGATGGACTTAACGTACCCACACGGTATATCCTGGAATTTGTCACTAAAAAACCGTTCATTTACGGCAGTGTATAGCCGCCAGTGCGCCATATCGGATTTTGCCAGCAGAACATTTCACTCACTTTCGATAATTTCTAGTCTATTGAAAGTGAGATATCGTAAAGTAACATAGAATTTGTATAATAATGGTAATTACCGGTAAGCTAGCGGTGTGGAAAGCGGCCAAATATTAATATGACGATCTGGCGCACTGGCGGCTGGACCCGCAAACATGGGGCTTCGTGGGCAAACGGGGTCTGTCGGATGCTCCAACGCGTCAACTATAATGATTCAACCCATTTGGCGCACTCTGAAGCCGTGTTAGCCCTGATTGTTGGTGCTTGTTTCGACATGCCGAGCCTCAACATGATGCCAAGTCTCTTCTTTGGCATATACATAAAAGCCCATTTTGGGAACATCACGGACCGTCAACTGGAGGTGTGGAAGAGATATCAGAGGATGATCGGTGATTGAAAGGCCGCCTTTGACAGGGCACCTCCGCCGGGATCCATATCTTTTGAGCAGAAACAGGCACCCGGGCACCTGTGGACGACTGGTGATCTCCACCGCAACGAGGAAATTGTCTCTAACGGAAGAATATCTTTTCTAGCGAGAAAGCTTTGATCAAGCCTTTACCAGCAATTTTTCGTGGCCATTTCTCCCGTGATAGACCGACTTAGTGCCAGGACTTAAAAACTAGACAGTCAATTTTCAATTATCCAGGAAATGGCTTGCATATCCCTACTCTGTCACTACCGACAATCAGCGTGACATTCAGGGTTGACATCGAACGAATTTAGTTCGAAGAAACACAATATTGAGATCGCCTTAACCGATAGTTACTCTGAATCTCACCTGGAACAGAGTTTTATTTCTTGAAATGAACAGCAAGTGGTCTGAGACAGGGCTAGTTAGCGTTTCCAGAATAACACATTGAAGGTGTAATGTCGAGTCACAGGACATCTGTGTGCACTAGTACTGAGACCATCTTACTCAAGCTGGAGAACTGGGAACAAATAGTTTATCCTTTCGGATGCCGGCATCATCTAACATACCCCCAACCTCCGGCATTATGGTACCTGGGGATCATCAATCCGCCTACAATATATAGATCGCGTTGCGGGAAATATGTTGGGCTCTACACTATGTAGGGACCAAAGAAGCAGAGGGAGAGAGTTGTATTGGGAAGAGAGAGGAGCAAGCTCCCATACAAGCTAGTATCTACCAAACGAGGATACGGTGCCTAAGGCATCCAGGTATCAATCCATAACAAAATCTCCGCAGAAGGCCTATCAATGTCTTCCATATATATCAGCTTCGTAATCCCCTAAGATCAATTATGCCATCCATTACCAATTCGCGGTATTCCTCATTCCACAGACCTAGCTATCTTTTGTGCAAATACATCCTCTCTCCCGAACACTATCTTGCAGCCATGGCTCCTTCTATAAACGAATTATTCTAATCACTAGGTATGCAGCTGCCTACCTTGGAACCGGTACCTGGTGAGTGTGACCTGGCAACAACCTTGGAAGCGGATAATTATTCCCGAGGTCGATGTGGAGAATCCTGGGCCAGGGTCGGGCCGTCCTGACCGGGCCAATTTCCATGGATCACTCCGGGGGTAAGATGCAACACTGGCAGGATCTTGTTCCGTGAGACCTGATTCTGCATGGTGGTTTCCGCTGACTTCTGCTGCTGCTGTATTTGGCAGGGCTCTCTTCCAAGCCTTTGTCTTTTGCCGCGATAGCCTGCTGTGTTTTAGTTTCAAGCTAATGTACGTGTGGGGCTTAGTTGCAGAAGAATTGGAATCTAATATCTAAGCAGTGCCACTGCCAGTATAACGCTACAAATGTCCTTCCTCGAAGGTCACCGGGTTCTACAATTGACCATAAAAAGTCTATACCTAGAAAGTACACAATAGGAGCCTGAGCCTACCTAGGTAGATTCCAGGATAATGAAGTGAGGTATTTAAGCTATAGAGGCATATTTATGGAGATGCGATACAGATGGAGAAAACGCTGTGTGGATTGACTGTCTCGGACGGGGAGAGAAGGAAGAGAAGGAAGGAGAGAGAGAGCTATCAACCTATGTAGGTTTCTATCATATGGTGATGCCTCAGGCATCCAACATCCCCCTCATAGAACCTGCCTCACCCCTGATATCCGGCATACAATATAGAAAAAAAAAGCTCTAAGCTTGTTGTTGAGACTATCTATATCCCCCTTGGCTTTAGCGTGCGCCTTACACTGAACCCTCTGGTCCACGTCAGCCAATCTTGGCATACCTCGTACTGCACTCGCTTTCTCAAAAGCGAAGGTGGAATCATAGACGCTGCTCTTATGGCCGGTGTCTATTACACCACGTATAAGTCCCTCTATAATGTATAATAGCCGGTAGTCGTATGTAGGTAGAGACGGAGGTGATTAGAATTGACGATTGTCGCACTGGTGTAGGTATCTAGCATCTAGTATCTGGCATCTGGTATCTGGTATCTGGTATCTGGCCCTAGCCCTAGCCCTGGCTCTGTACACCATACACTATGCACTATATACTGGCGTACTTCTCGTTGGTCAAAAAATGTGTGTTATAAAAGAGTACTCGGACGTTCGAGTATATAGGCGTATACGGTTGCATGAAAGAATCTCGATGAAATCTCGATGAAATTTCGAATTTGTGTGACGTTGAAAACTCTGTACTCCGGTAGGCCGAAAATGTGAAAATGCGCGATTATACGCGAAAATGTAGATGAATGGCGCACACTTACGCGAAAAACGTGCTTTCTCCTAAGCAACGGAGGTCTCGGTATATAGGGTACCGAGGTAGGTGCGGGGTGCGGGGTGCCGGGGTAGCGAGCATATTAACTGGGGTCCGCCGATTGTCACTCCACTCCGTAAGATTGCAACGCTTCTATCATACTCTGGCCCTACCCGGGGATACAAAAAGCACCAATAGCACTGATTAAACACCGCACCTGACTGAATGTGGACCGACAACAATACTGCTTTGCAATGAAAACCTATGGCCCATGACCCGGAATATTCTTCACCTTCAAACTATCTAACCGCTAAGTGGCCGGGAAAAGCCACGTCTTCAAAGACTACCACATTGCCTCCGCATCTGCTACGTCTGCGTTCCCTCGCCGAGCTGAGCGGGGGCGCATGTCGATCGATTATATCATTGTAACTCGGGCACCGGAAGCTTGGGGCGTAGGTTTTGGGGCGTTGGTTCCGCTGGGCTCTTCCCAGCAGCTCTTACCTTCGTAGGCCTTTGTTCCCGTTATTTCAATTGCCGTTGTCCCGCTATCTCGTGGATCTATTTAACCCATCTTTGCTCATGAACAGGAACTGGCGCTTGATCTACATATTTTTACCGCATGACCAATTTGTTGGCAAACGTTTTCTCCCCGTTAAGATGGCCTACATCTTGACATTCATTCTCTTGCTACAAGTGGTTCTAGCCTCCTCTTCTCTACTATTAAGGTCCCACTCGATAGCCCTAAAAGGATCCTTAGGCCCGATATCTATGGCTATTCCATAGAACCCTCTTCTGTTGATCCGTATATCCAGAGCAACTTGACCTCAAACATATTGAAGAACATTGCCGAGATTATTGGGAAACCGGCACCGATCAGAGTCGGAGGTAATATCGCAGATCAGACGCAATTCGAGCCCAGTTTGGGAACGCCGTCATCTGCTCTGCCGAATGACACCAAAGTGGAAGTTTTCCGTATTCGCAAAGACTGGTTCGCCGGCTGGAGAGATTATTTCCCAAGCAGAACAGATTTTGTTTACACGCTGAACCTACGTAACACTACTGGCTCTTGGTCAACTGCGATGAAAGAAGCCGAAGCAGCGGTCCACGTTCTTGGCGAGTCCCTCTCCTTCTTCGAGCTTGGCAATGAGATCGATCACTACATCTCCAAAGGCTGGCGTAAACCGGGTTGGGACACAAAGCAATATACTCGCCAGTGGTACCAGCTCACCGATCAAATCCTGTCGTCCGCGTTCTACAAGCAAGCGAAGCGGAAGCCGCACTTTCAAGCAGCGGTATTTGCAGATCCACCATGGGTCCCGGATCAGCAGGACGAGGTCGACGATTTTGATATTATCAATGTAACTCGTGCTGGACTGGTTGATCCTAGCATTATTCAAACCTACGCAGTTCACCTCTACCCTCAGTCGACGTGCGACGCAGCACGTGAGAGCCGACTCTCTCTCGATTTGCTTTCAGATCACCAAGTCGTTTGGACCAATCTTTCCCAATATATCCCACAAGAGGCCGCCGCTCGAGCGGCTAACAGTTCACTTGTGCTCGGCGAGACTAATTCTGCTTCATGCAGTGGAAGGAGTGGCATCAGCGACACTTTTGGTGCTGCTTTGTGGGGAACAGATCTGGTCCTAACAGCAGCGAGCATCGGTATCGAGCAGGTGTTTTTCCATCTGGGTCACCAGAGTGAATATTCAGCATTCACCCCATTGCCCTACAACTATAAGGGTGAGGACCTTTCCGCCGGGATCAGAGCGAACTTTTACTCGCACTTTTTCCTCGCACATATCTTAGCGGGCAACAATGGGCGGCCTTGGGAAATAGCCGCTTTGCCAGCCGCAAATGCTTCCGATTTCAGTGGCTATTCCATATTTTCAGGCGAACAACAATTAAATCTCGAGAAGCTCGTGTTTATAGATTTGGGAGTATGGAACTCCACCCATGGGTTGCATAACCCCTCGACTTTGTCCGTGACAGACTCTAATTTTGCCTCTTCTGGTACCCGACCTCAGCGAAAAGTGCAGATAGATACCCCTTGGAAACCAGGAACAAGGATAGAAATCGTGAAGCTCCAGGGCCCTGGCACTAATGCCAAGAGCGACGTTAACGTTTCGGGTGTCAGCCTGGATTCCAGGACAGGTAATTTGCGAGGTCAAACAAAAAGGGAAGAAGGAATTGTTCAAAATGGTGGTCTCGTGCAGATCGAGCTTCTTCAGGCAGAGGCAATGTTGATACAGAAGGCTTAGGAAGCCCGCCTGTGGGGGTTCAGGTTCCCGATGCTTCTCTCTCCTGTCCGCCTCTTTCGTTCAGGAATCTCATACATTGTTTCTTTTTTTTAAAAAAAAAGATTGAAGCTCCATTGTATCGTGATTCGATGAGATGTTAATGCAAACTCTTTCACCAAGTTCAACAATCCATAATATATAGCGACGATCCCCAGTTATATTTATCTGTAACGCCCATCTATATATCAATGACTACTTCTTCGTCCCTACTCTCTTGGTTTAGGCCCGAATCCTCGATTTACCTCAGAAATCGCCCTCAAAGACCCGGATCCCGCCACCGCTTCTTGTCAAAATGAAAATCGTGCATAATCTCAGTATCATCGCGACGCTTTGATATACTTAGTAGTATGCTTGACTAATTGAGTACCTATATAAGGTATCATCTTACTAGTTTTAGGGGCATCCTTACATTTCTTCTCCCCCAAAATTGCACCTATATGTTGTAGTGACCAAAGCGTACCAATGGGTGTGCTCAGATCTACTTAGTGAGCAAAAAGCGGCCAGGTCTGAGCACTAATGTGGAAAGAGAACGCCAAGAAGAGAGGAAATCAAGTACCAAGGGCATGTAGATAGGGTATGGAGATAGGGTCCAGACTCCGGCATCGGCCGACACAGATAAAAGTGAAGATTCCCGGAGATCGGGAAAAAACGGAAAGCCAAGAGAAACCCGACGGGACCTTATCTGTCGCCAATCGTTGGCTCATTCCCACTTCGACACGCTAACCCCAAAAGGGAAAGGCTTAGCTTACGGCGGAGCCCCACTTGGCGCGAGTGGCAAGAAGGACTTTATCTGTAGCCAATCACATCCACGAGAATCCAGCGTCACTCATCCAATTGCTGGTGGCGGATAGGGATTTTGATAGAATTTGAACTGATATCCGAGTGAAGATAAGCTCCTGCTTCTCTTCTCCAGAATAACTCCACGACTCTATTCTATACAGGAAGGGGGGGAAGTCCCTGCAGAATATCTGTGATAAGCTATCTAGCTATCTTATTTAGATGAAGAATTCTAGAATGATGAAGATATATAAGAAGTAGACCCTCCACAGAGGGAGTGGAATCCTACTTCCCCAAATCCCCAGGAACTATTCCCGAAATCGAGTCACTGTCGAATGGTACATGTGATCATAATCTACATGTAATCTCCATATCCAAAGCAAGGCCAAGGCTTGGACTATTGGCATGGGAAGACCCATACTTATCATCCCTTGCCACATTATCTTGCGGCTGTTTACGCCGGGGAAGACGAGGTTGATGACAATGTGTGTGTCAATTGTGTTAATTATCCATACAGAATCGAAATCAAAATGGAAAAACCTTATATAACCAAACCTGGAGATTGGAAACATGGAGAGGGAGAGAGAGAGCTGGGGGAATATAGTATTATCGGGATTATCCCATTGCTATTGTCACAATCTCTGGACCACTTTGAATCAGCATTTTTCAACTATCTCCGATTTTCTCCTGCTAACCGCGCCTGTCAATTTCTTTTTCTTTTTATTGTACATGTTTCATGACTCCCTTTTAACTTTTCATCTCTCAGTGCTTTTTTCCATTATCTAGGGGAGAATTGTATTTGAATTGTCATATCACTTTGCTTACTATTTGATTTTGACAACCTTAGACCCACCGGTGTCGATCCGACTTATCTCTGGAATTTTTTGGTTCGAAGAAGTTTGGGTTTCCTTATTTTTATATTCGTGGCGAATTTCTTCTTTCCTTATCTTCTGGAACATCCTTTTTTTCTTTCTCACATTTGAACGCCTTGCTATACCCTTAACGCATTTTCAATTTCAAAGGAGCCTCTCAAATCACAATGGCGTTCAGCGGGAAAGCCCCGTACGCCCCGGACTATGCCTCCTACAACTGGATCGGAGCTCCTGCCAACTACGACCTCTCGACAAACCCAGACTTGGGCGGCGATTCCCGTATGAAGTCTTCCCTGTCTCGTTAAGGGAATGGTGATCTAACATTGGTTTCCTATTTAGGCACTGAAAATGTCAACAAATGGTTTCAATCCGGCGACCAGGCCTACATCATCGTGGCCTCGGCCATGGTCATGGTCATGATCCCCGGTCTCGGCTTTCTGTACTCAGGATTGGCTCGCCGAAAGTCTGCCCTTAGTATGATCTGGGCCTGTATGGCGTCCTTGTCTGTCGTGACCTTCCAATGGTATTTCTGGGGTTATTCACTTGCTTTCTCCCCAACTGCGACCAACGGTTATATCGGCAACTTGCGCAACTTCGGTTTAATGAACACATTGGCCGATCCGAGCCCCGGTTCTCCACTGGTTCCTAACTTGCTCTACGCATTCTATCAGGTAAGATCGAACATTGGGAATCATTGAACTGGTTTCCTGCACCCAGGACAATACTGACTTCTTCATCCCTAGATGCAATTCTGTGGTGTCACTGCAGCTATCGTCATGGGAGCTGTCGCTGAACGCGGTCGGCTTCTTCCCGCCATGGTCTTCGTTTTCCTCTGGGCTACTATCGTTTACTGTCCGCTAGCCTGCTGGGTCTGGAACGTCAACGGTTGGGCATTCAAGTACGGTGTGATGGATTACGCCGGTGGTGGTCCCGTCGAAATCGGTTCCGGTTTCACAGCTCTGGCCTACTCGATGGTCCTCGGTCGCCGACAGGAACGTATGATGCTCAACTTCCGCCCACACAACGTCTCTCTCATCCTCCTCGGCACCGTTTTCCTCTGGTTCGGTTGGCTTGGTTTCAACGGTGGTTCCTCGTTCGGAGCTAACCTGCGCGCAACCATGGCCTCCTGGAACACCAACCTGACTGCCGCCTTCGCGGCCATCACCTGGGTTTTGCTCGATTGGCGTCTGGCTCGCAAGTGGTCGATGGTCGGCTGGTGTTCCGGTACCATCTCGGGATTGGTAGCTGCCACACCCGCCTCCGGATTCATCTCTCCCTGGGCCAGTGTCATCCTCGGCATTGTGACCGGCATCGTTTGCAACTACTCCACCAAGATCAAGTACTGGATCCGGATCGACGACTCTATGGATGTGTTGGCAGAGCACGGCATCGCTGGTATTGTCGGCCTGATCTTCAACGCGTTGTTCGGTGACGATGCCATTGTTGGTCTGGACGGCGTCAACACCGGCACCGGTGTCGGTGGCTGGGTCATCCACAACTACAAGCAGCTGTACATCCAGATCGCCTACATCGTCGCTACCGCTTCCTACAGCTTCGTCATGTCCGCCATTATCGCCTACGCAATCAACGCCATCCCGGGTCTGAACCTGCGCGCCTCCGAGGAAGCTGAGCTGCTCGGTATGGACGACGACCAGCTGGGCGAGTTCGCCTACGACTACGTCGAGGTCCGTCGTGACTACCTCGCTTGGACCCCGCAAAACCACGACCAGCTCGAAGACGGCCACCAGGTCCCCGCCGCGCAACGCTACGGCATCGGGGAGCATAGCGAGATGATGCTCGGTGGACCGCCGCGCGAGGTCATGCTCGAGGGCCACGCGCCCAACGGTGAGATCAGCCAGAGCAGCCGCGGCACTAGTGAAGGTGACATCGCTATGCACGAGGTCAAGATTGCTCCTGCTCCTCGCCAGGTCGCTGAACAGCATCCTCCTGATACACAGGGTGCCGAACCCGTGGTGCTAAGACCGGTCCAAGAGAAGACGGAGACCTAATCACACTCTCCATTCCCCCACACATTTTCCCTGCATCACATTTGCATGGCATACATTTCGCATACGCCATTCCGTCCAGCAAGCTTTGATTTTCTCGTTTTCGCTTCTTTTAACTCGATATCCCTTGAGCGTGCTTCTTTTCTTGCGACTAAAGCCTGGGGCTTTTGCTATACCTCCAACCTACTCTTTGACTTTCGATACCTCTACCACCAACTCTCTACCACCGACCTCACATACTATCCAACATCTCACCCTCCGTTATTCACCTTTACCTCACCCTCACGCTACAATAACATACCTCACACCCCCAAACCAAACTACAACTCCCTCGGGAAAAGCAACTTGAATTATGGTCTAATTTGGCCTGGCGCTCCATGGTTCTATGTTTTTATGGCCTTTGAAATGGTCAAACGGGGATATTAAACTGGGTTTTGTACGTGTACACAAGCTGCTTCATTGAATTGCAGGGGAATACCTTGCTTCTGTCTATGTTTTCTGGTTTTGCGTCTGCAGTATAGAGCGATACAGCCTGATACAAATTTACCTATTATCTAAGACTACATTACAGTTATTCTCAACCCTTTTTGGCACAATTGTAAATGGTAGATATGTAAATATGCAAGTACCTTGCTGTGCGAGTCTACATGCATTTGTCCAGAACAAGATATAACAAAATCCCAAACCCGAATATAAAACAAAAACAAAAAACCCGTCAAATGCACATCAAACAATCCAATCTATAAAAAATCCCCCCTACCTCCTAACCATCCCCCGAACCCTAATCAAATCCTCCCTCCCAAGCTTCTCAACAACCTCCGCCGCAACCCCACCCCTCCTAACCTCATCCCACTCATCCTCATCCATCCCCATAACAAGCGTCATCTGCACACACCGCGCAAAACATTCCCGATACCGATATCTCCCCGGCGCACCAGCAACATACCCAACATCAACCGCAGCCCCAACAAGCCCCGCAACATCCCTCTCAAGCCGCGCCGCGCCCAGCGCGTTAATCCGCGTCCCGTAAGACCAGAGCCTCTTCTCCAGTAGACGGGCCAGATACGCGATCGTCACGCCGAGGACGCGGTCGAAGGCGGTTGCCGTCAGGATCCGCGCGAATGGTGTGAGGAGGTCGTTCCAGGAGGCAGTGAAGCGCGGCTTGACGAGTTCTTTGTCGAAGGTTGGAGCGTCGGCTTCGTGGTTGGGGTTTGGTGCGTATTCAATGTCCCGGAATGTATCTGCTAGGATTGGGCGCAGACGCGGCTTTATGGCGTTGTTGAAGATTACTTGGATTCCGTCGGTT